ACACCACGAACAACCCTATCAAAACCTCCAGCAGTCACAAACTGCTATAGGAAGCTCTAGCTATGAATATATATACACATCTCTGATTTTCTTAAATATTTTAATTAAAATGCTAAAGGTACATGGATACTTTGTTATCATTCCACTCCAGTCTTAACTTGATCATTTGTAAATTATTCCCTAGTGAATTTTACATTATCAGCTAGCCTTTCATCCAGGCTACTACAAATTTCAGTGTACTAGCCCAGGGAGCTGGCACCCATGCAGGCCGATTTTGATATTCAGAGTATTTACATGAAAAATCAGACGAACAACAACACAAGAGCAATTAAATATGCATGAAGTGCAAGAACTAGCAATACAACACTGTGCCAATATAACACCAATACAATACACACAAACATTCACATCTGGGATTGCTCTCCCGGGCTCCCGGTAACATACGACAGTGTAATGAAGCACAAAACACATACTGTTGAAGCATCTGGTGCAGGCAAAGACAGAGCGACAGACAGACTACAGACGGGCGCTGAAAGACAGAACGAAATGTAAAAATAACCAAGGGAGAGACAAAAAGAAGAGTGGAATAAAAGGAATATAAGGAAGCGGAAAGGTAAATTAGGAAAAGTTAACTCGGAGAAAGATGAATCTCCAAAAGTGGGAAGGAACCAGGCCAGAAAAGAGTTGAGAGCTCAAGCTATGTAATGCAAGGAACAAGAAAAAGGGCAGAGAGACAAAATGGAGAGATGTTTTTGCCCACAAGCTTGTTACAAACAGCTAAGGAGAATAAACACACACGAAGGGCAACGGTACAGGTCAACAGTCTGACCACAGCGTGCACACCCGGAGGGAAAGGACGGCAGGAGAAAGTGACTGTGGATGGGGAAGGGAGAGCGGGAGAGAACAGAGGGAAGGAGGGAGGCAGAGAGAGATACAAAACAGTCACTTAATGATGCGAGGCGCTAACGACACCAGGGGAGAGAGAGGGAGAGACAAAGACATGGATGGAGGGACAGGCTGGAGAATAAAAACTAGACAACAATAAAAAGAGGAAACGATAGCAAAGAGTAAACCATAAAATGAAAAAACAAGCAGAAAGAGGGAGTCAATAAAAACACACGCAATCAAAACAGAAAAAGTAAAGGGCTGTTGCAGACATTCTGCAATCTAACTTTTACAACCGTGTCCTAGACAGACGCACGGCACCCTCTGTCTCGTACCTCTTTGAATAGGGAAATGTGAGAAATGACTCGCTCATAAATGGATATAACAGTAAACAGTGAGTTGACTAGAGGAATTGTTGTCAAACAGTCTGAGACACGTTAAACAAAGGGAGAGAAGTTTCCTTTGAAATGTGAAACTCTCCCTCTGACAAAAAGAAAAAATCACTACTGTCGTAACACTAAAACTTTCTAATTAATGGGAGTGACATTTCCAGACATCTTGAGCCTGTTATTTACAAAATGATAGCAGTTATGGAACGCAGATACAGAAGATAATTAAGAAATAAAAACCGATCGCTTATATTTCTGAAAAATGAACACTTGGCGTTGAAATGAGACAACTGGAAGAATGAGATATTCAAGTTTCAAAAAAATGTGTGATGAAAAAAAGCTTCATTTCAGCCAATAAATTCAGTTTCCCCCCCCAGACACTGCCTACCGTGTGGATAAATATACATGCCCCCCTGTTGTGACTAGGTATAAGCATGTATATGTGTAGGTTTATGTTTTCACAGTCTTGAAGTGATTCTCAGGGAAAATGGGGGAGTGTGGAGGGGAAAGACAAAAAAAAAAAAAAAAAAATCGATCTGCCTCACTCTCTGCAGTGCTGCAACCACTGGGTGTGTGCAAGTGTCTCACTGTGTTTGCATGTGCCCCAACGACAGGGGCGCCACCAAGTGGTCAAAATTATTCCCACGGTCATTTATAGAGAGAGGAGACTAATGTCTATGGGAAGAGAAGTCGGCATGATAGAGAGATGGATAAATATTCAGGAATTTGTGGAGGGAGGTGTAAACAGCTTGTGTTTGACTTAAAATGAAAACAAACTCTGTCAAGACATCGGAGACAGCAGTGACATTAGCCGTCTCTGTGGAGCTTCTAATTAATTGGATAGCCCTGCAAGACCACAAGCTCTCCCACGTATAAACACATTCAGTCACTTATTCACGCCCAAGTGGCCACTCACTGTGTGCACGCGTACGAGCAGACAGACCACACGACACACAGCACCACAGGTTTGCTAATGTGACCATCTCCCTCAATTCTTGGGGGGCCGAGGTATTGTCTGGATCAGTCCGGTGGATGGTTCGTTGTTTTCTCCAGCAGTTTCAGGCAATGTAACTCATCGCATGGCGATCAGGCGTTGACCACCTGCATTCACCTGCGACGCGGGGACAGAGGAGAGAGATGGTAACCGAGTTAAGATAACTACAGAGAGAGAGGATGGAGAAGATTAATTTAAAGGTCGACAAACAGGGGCGGTAAACATCCCCAAGCGGGAAGGGCAAGGGGGGGGGGGGGGGGGGGGGTTCACCCTTCAGGATAGAGCTGTGTTGGAGCAAAAAGACTGGCATTGCATTTTGGTGAGTGAGCAGATAGACCGAAAGAAAGATGGGAAGTGAAGGAGCAGGTAAAGGATAAATGGAGAGGAAGAGATCTATTCAGAAGCGGAAGGAGAGTGACAGTGCAGATCGTGTGCTGTCACGAGCAGGAGGCACTGAGAGCGGGGTAAGAAAGAGTGATCCTTGAGTGACTGAGTAAGTAAGCGAGCTAAGTCGTCCCAGCAGGCCGGCGAGGTTTGGAGGACAGAGCGAGGACGTTTTGCTATCTGGGGGATTGGCACCAGGAGGGAGGGAGGGAGGGAGAGGGAGATAGAGTGGAAGAGACAGAACTTTAAAAACACAAACATCCTGTTAAAGATAGACTGGTAGAGGCATTACATGGCCCTCTGCCACAACAACTGGCTGGCAGCACTTTGCTCTGGAGACCTTTGCAAGTGTAACTAAAGACACTAATTTATGTTTGGCATTTAAATGTTATTTCTGTGTACCAAAGGTAGCAAACACAATTTAGAGCAGGTACCGTTCAGAAGAATATGTGTGAATGTTCAGAGTTACAGCTTTTAATTTACAGTTGAAAGAGTATTAATAACTAGACCATGGGTTCCCAATGTAGAAAGCCACTGACAAAAGCGCTCAGATCTGGATATACGGGTCTGTATACAAATCTCAAAGGAATTTAGACTCATCTCAAGTCATGAATAATAATGGTGTGGAATAAATAATAGTAACTCAACTCTAGTCTATATATGTGACTTTCCATGTGGCTGTGCCCTCCAAAGTAAGAGGACAGATTGGGGGTATAATGTGACTGAGATGGAGGAGGCATCCAAGCCCAGAGCCTTTAAGTAGGCCGCTTGCGAGAGACAGAGAAATCAATCGCCCTACACATGTTGCCACCCACACGTGCATTAAATTGCCTCATCATCACTCAAACTGCGGCTCATATGTAGGCTGTGCTCAAGCTGAAGTCCTAAAAAGTGAGGGATGCAGGTCTGAGCCATGTTTTGAAGCACAATTTGGGCCGTGTGGGTGTTTGTGCGGCTGACCGTGTGGTAGAAAAACAAAACAAGCAAAAATCCTTTTGAGTTATTAAGATCGAGTTTACCGCTTTGATAGCGTGTGGCAGACACAAATCCAGGTGTATTAGGCTCTTTGGGAGATTCATTATTCCATGAAAACAAATCAGCCATTGCATTTGCCACCAGAGAACAGAAATTAGACCAGCCCACATGCTAAATAGGCTGCCCACAACAGCAGCCAAAATACATCATATACTAATCACTGAGCTGAGTGGGAGAGATACAGAGACACAGGGAGCAGGAGGGAGAGAGACAGAGAGGGGGAGAGGTGTAATGAGTAAGTGCGAGGGGGGAGCGTGCATGCACACGGCGACATACACGCATGCACGCACACCAGCCTACACGGATTCGCACCGTAACAAGGTCATTTTGTGGCCTGCCCAAGTAAATAAAGTGCAGGAGAGAGAAGGTGGCAGGAGCAGAAGAAAATGGCTCAGCATTTACTGGCTAATTATCAGCCGGGGGAGGCGAGACGAGAGAGGCGAAGGAGGACCGATCAGCACACACGCACAGAAAGAGGAACAGAAAGATGGAGCGAGCCAGGGAGACGGAAGTGTAATCTCTCTGTAAATATCGCACTAGGAGAAGACAGAGGAAGCGATGGAGAATAGATAGAAAAAATAGAGCAAAAAGTCTTTGCAAAGTAGCTGCCATGAGGGTCGAGTGAGCAGGCAGAGAAGACAGATAGGCGGGCTGCATGACTCACTGGTCTAAATATGATACTCGAGAGGTGGGGATCTACTGCCACCCGCTGTCCGTGGCGGACATGACATCTGCAGTGGCCAGGATCAGTCACAGCTAAAAGAGGATCTTGGCTACTTTCAGGGACTGTTGTTGGTTGTCAGTCGAATCCATTAAGTTTGTTTTAACCACAGGGCCAAGCGAGGGCTTAGCCAGGACTTGCTCATTACTCACATCAGCTCATCCTTCTCAAAAGCGACACCTATGGCAGTGTTTCACTCCTGCTGCCAGTGGAGATTATCTGTCACCCAAATTACATGGTTTCAAATGAAGAAGTGGTGTTTCTGATGCTATGATAAACACCTTAAGCTGGTGTGTAGGCCCTGGGTTCTATTGAAAAAAAAAAGGGGTGGCTGATGAGTATGTACTGCTTTGTGAGGATATTATCCTGGGTACCAATGATCTAGAGAGACTTTTTGAACTAAACGCTTGACTGATTTTAACTGGGGCACGAACCAATATACCCTTTTCTCATCATCTTCTACTTAAGTGACTTTTTCATTTCTTAAAGCAGCTGTCTGACTTTGTAACCATTATGTCTGCCTTGTTTTAACTAGGACATACAGCATACTCACAGTAAAAGAGGCCCTCGTGTCATCTCTTTCCCTCTTAACCATTGTTAAGGTGTACTGTTCTCCCACTGTTTAACAAGACCTTCAAACGCTCCCATGCACCAGTACATGAGAGCACTTCTCTACGTGCTCTCAACATAGACCAAAAAATCTATTCATGTACAGTAATTGCTATACAACTCTAGTATTATTATATAAATCAAGGGGAATATTGAACTTCATATGGATTTTCATCCAAACAAAGCAGTGCTGAACTGCACATGTTCATCAGTATATTTGTATTAGCAACTTTTAGTTTCAGTCCAATATTAGGTTTAATGTTTGTGTGTCATTCTTTATCCTGTTGTGTTCCACTTGGCAACAGGTTAAAATGATCATGGCGTCCGACAAAAAATTAAGAAAAAACACACCTATCCATTTGGAAAACGTTTTGCACTTGCATTAGTACTACTACATACATATCTAGCCACTGTATTAGCCTATATGGTTGGCAAAATATCAGATATCTGTATCTGCCTTAAAAAAAAAAACATCTATACTTACTGCCGAACAGTCACTCTTCATATAATCCTCAGACATTACAAATACACGCTAGTTCCGCATTTCAACTACCATATTCTCATGGATTTGGTCAACCTAAAAGCAACAGTGGCAGTGTTCCTGACAAGCTAGTGATGAGAGGCTGGTGAAGGGGTTTACACCACGTCACCTTTTATCCATCATCCTCGCAGGTCGGTGGTTACCCAGGGGAGAGGAGGGGAAGGGGAAGGAAAGGAGGGTAGAGGAAGACTATTGGGACGTGGCCTACATCCACTTCGCAGGTCCCAGCATAGGTGGGAGGAGAGAGGCGAGACAGTCAAAAAGGAAGATGCGTCAGCAGGATTGACTTGTGGGGATTGGACCTGCTCTGCTCTCTCCACTCTATCCATCACTCAGATAATAAGAAGTGAAAAGTCGAGTGGACGAGAAGAGGGGCGGAGTGTATGATGATGGGATTGATGGATAGATGTGTCCCTGGGAGAGTCGGTGCATTGCAGTATTAGGTGCCGACAAATGTCACAGGGACAAGTATGGAGGGGCAATGACAGGCCTGAGTAACCTTCGCCTGTCCAATATGTACTTCGCTGTAACGGCTCAAGCAGTTGCAGGGTCAGCATGACATTTCCCCATCACAACTGTGCCACTTTTAACAACAAGTTTTTGGAGTCAGACGGCCCTAACGCCATTTTAGAGGTCTTTGACTCAGCAAATTTTCAAGCTGTCTCAGATCATATTTATGGTAGAGAAAATGGTTCTATTTTAACCAATAAACTACACAGAAAGTGATAATCTGGACAAATCTTTTGCCAAAGGCATGGTGTCCCTGCTGATGGCTTTTTATTCCCTAAACAAACCGACACACAGGAGGAGATGACATCCAGCAAGCCTCCTCTGTGGTTTGTTTGGGGGAGAGCGGTTGCAAGGGAAAAGAGGACAGAGAAGAGTCCTACAGAGAGCGAAAAGTGCACCATGGTTTAACTCAGGGGCATCAGCAGTGCAAAAAATAAAAATAAAAACAAGTGCAAGGATACCAGAAAGAGGGCATGCATAGTCCCAGGGATCTTGATTAGGTGGGGCTTTTTTTTTTTCCTGACTCACTTCACATGTCTTTTCATCCTTCTTCCCCCAAGTCTCCCTATACCCTTTCCACACAAACTCAATCTCAATTTCTTCTTCAACCCTCTACCTCTCTTTTTTTGCCGTCCTCCTGCCTTTTTCATACACCCTCCTGAGCTCACCACCAAACATTCCCTCAATCCCCCACTGCCCACATCCAACCCTCTTTTATTGAGAGGGTTCAGGGAGATCTGAGGGCAGCTCACACTGATAATATAAATGTTTTATCCTTTCTCTAGCCTCTTCCCTCTGACTCAGGAAAAAATATACACACACAGTTTCTTTTTGCGCCTTCTTTATGTGTGCAGTTTATCAAATTCATTCTGTAAGCATATTGTCAAAGCAACACCTCCTATGCAACCCTCAGGCTAGCCATGAATTTTTCAGGGTCTTAAAAGTTCAGGGTCTGGAGGGAGCAAACCCAGACAAAAGACAAACTTTTTTTTTTTCCCATTCCTAGACAAAAATATATCAACTGAAGGGAAGGGTGGGGTGCAACTCATCATCAAAACGCACACAGTGGGACCAGATTTAAAGCTGATGTTTTAAGACTGGAGACGCTTTACTACGTTAAAGCTACAACTTGGACACTATAATATGTCATCCCATAGTAAGACTGTATTATTAAAATGTATCAAGGAGTCCATCTCACCTGATTTGAACTAATGCGTGCTGACAACTGGGAGAGAGTGCACTCCCTTTGTTCTAGATATTAAGGACACTTCTTTTCTCCTGGGGTCCTGGCCAATAACCTCCAAAGCTAATATATATATAGTTCTTGGCTTTTGGGGGTCGTTCTGTGCTGCTGCTACAGCATACGCCAGCGATTTGGCCCTAATTTGACTGGGGAGTGCTTCAAGGTTGCTGTTAAGCATTCCTCCCAGTACCTTTAGTGAAGGGATTTTTATTTTGTATTTTTATTCAGTGGGGTGGGGGTGGTGGTGGTTGGGGGGTGAAAATAAGAGGTGTCAGGAGGATATAATTCGTTACAAGCCTCAAAGTGGCTCTGCTTTTGCTGCACTGCTGGGAGAAAATTGGAAATGCCGCAGTAGACATCAAGTGATGGAAGCAAAGGAAGCGACGAGCTTCCCCCTTAGCACTGAAGCCAAATCTTATTCATGCTGGATAATGTCTGCATGTCATGCTGAAAGTTTTATACCTTACTCCTGCTTTTTATCCGTAGTATACAGATAAGTGAGGACTTTCAATGGAAGCAAGATGACCCAAATTGAAAGACATTATGTTAGGGGCTAAAGTAAAAGTGCCAATTTGAAACACCTTCACCAATGGGACATAGCTTATAAAAGCCACTTCAGGACCTTACCTTCGCTACAAATTGCCTGTCCTTCTGGTCCAAGTTGGCTGTGGGTGCCACGTAGTCCTTCCAGATGCGGACCTTACGCTCTTTAGCAGATCTGGCAAAGAACAAAATCACATCATCATCACCATTTGTAGTCCTCAGCAGCCATGTTATATTGAGACGTTAACGGCAAGTGACTAAAAATTATCCATTTGGCTGGAAAAAAACGACAAAAGCTCATTAAAGTGAGTAAATGAGAACATAGTCACTGCTGCAATGATTGTAGAGGATGAAAATCATTGCAGCAGAATAGATTGCTCATCTCAAGTAGTGGTGGCATAAATTTGTATACTATATAATTTGCACAATCATTTTCAAACTCAAGAATCTGCATGTACTTTGTTTACTCATTATGTCTTGATGTCCTGATTTCCAGAAACAAATATACTGTTCAGCAGAGCAACAGCTGAATTTAATAATAACACTTTTTAATAAATGTCCATTTAACATTCAAGAAAAGTTAGGTTTTCTGCATGTCTAAAGTTGCACACACCGTTCAGCAGCTCTGAGTTTCTCTGCTCCCTGGGTGTAGACAGCCATGGACCAGTCCACGCAGCGAGCAAAGCCTTCCTTCAGCAGGAGTTCTGTTATGTTGCCATTCTGACAGAAAAGGGAACACAGACAGTCAAAAGAACAATTAATGAGATAGAAAGTCTGAATTTTAATGACCGCAAGCTGGGTCTCGCCTCCTGTGTGTCTTTACCGGGTGGAGGATGGTGCCCAGTATGATCTGGTTGGGACAGCTTTCCAGGATGATCTGAACATCTCTCTGCAGAAGACGGGATTCAGTGAAGAATTTGGCCTCTGCTGCGAATGGCTCTGGTGTCTCTGTGCCATCCGCTTCCCGCTTGAACGTGGGACACTGGAGAGAAGGAGAACACACATTATAACACAACAATACTCACATCTCAATCAGTAGGGTAGTTTTGCAAGCCTTGGGAAACATGATAAAATGTGTCCAATTTGATTGATTACATCGCCATTGTGAGAGACATTTTTTGTTTACTGCAATTCCCTGTAGCCGACCAGTGCCTCTCGGAGTTTTTTTGTGTACACAATCTTCTGATATAATCTGCTTTTTATCTGTGTACTACTATTATCCACTTTTAACCGATGTCACCTTGCTGCACATGCTATCTGTATTCTCCTTAGAGTGTGGCAAAAACACCAGACAGATATAAACACAATGGGCACGACGAGCAGACAGGCCTTTGAACAACGAAACAAAGAACACCTTGAAATGGATGTAATATCTTCAAGTGGGAGATGAAAAAGATTAGTTATCTTGAGTGGCCCATTGGCAAAGCCGGGCTTGGTGAAAAAGATTGATGGGGAAATTTAGTGGAGCGGATATGACACTGGTGGAACAAACACAGGCTTAGGAGGAGTGACAAAAATGAGTCTTTTTTTATATACTGCCTTAAATACTTTATTAATAGTTTTTGTGACAGTTTCCTCCACAGCTGTTTTTCTTTACTTTCGAAGCACAGCCATTTTATCTGCACGTAGGTGGCCAATTGTGCTTTTATTTATTTGCTTACAACTTAGTGTTATTGTACTGTGCTCCCGATTAAAAGAAAAAGGTTTAGCAAAAAAAAAGAAAAATTAGCTTAGCAGTTCACATTTAACCACATCTGTGTTTGCAGCAAGTGAATGGTGGTTACCTTAACTCCAGACAGCATGACAGTGACCAGGTAGTGGTCTGGGAGCAGCAAGGCACGAACAACACTGCCGTCACGCACATGCTCGATGATGGCTGGGGGGAGGAAAGAGGACAGAACATAAAACGTTTGAGGGAGAGAAGAGCGTGTTAAATTACAATTACCATACAGACATCAAACTCTCGGATTAGACTTGCTTATTTGTGGGCTGGACAAAATTTATATTTACCTTATCAGCACTATATTTCATATTGGAAAATATGGAGTGAGGATTGAGTGATTGGCCATCCAGAATGAAAAACAACATCTTATTCTTTGAGGATAATGGCCACGGACGAAGGAAAGTCTGAATTTATCCAATTTATTTTAATCCTGGGAAGATTGTCATAGCATCTATTCCCTGTTTCAGCAAGGTCCTTCATGGCACTCATTGAACTTAAATCAATAACACCTGTGATCTGCCAAAAACAAGCAGTGGAATTAAAGTGTCTCGCTAAATGCTCACTCTCTGGTACTTCTCGATGAGGAGCAAATCACGGCCTCCTTGGCAGACTGTGACACGCCACTTAAAGTAATACTCGAACAAATTCTGTACCATACACTCACTACCGAAGGCTCAAAGAGGTTGCTGGAAAAAGGTTTGCCGATTCCTTCCTCGCAGCATAAAAAGGCTGTGGTCAGCTTCAATTAGTTTTGGTTACAATTAATTTAAAGTTTTCACAAAATGTCAAGAGAACTTCTGAATCCATTTCTGCAGCATAATCTGCTGCTCTGCGGTCAGCATGTGAAGTGTGTTCGAAACTAGTTCGCCAAAATAGAGCTAACACGCTACTTTGGTGCCAACTTACCACAGCCATTGTTCTCTGGGACGAAGGAGACTACATATTTACTGTGTTTGTTTCCTTTAGCCACCTCTAAAGTCTAAAGAGGTAAGTACTTGATACTCAAACGATTTTTTTTTGAGTATCAGTCAGTCTCGACTATGCTATATGCAACACATGAAAGCTCGAGACAAGGTCAATTTATGAGGAAAGCTTTTGAAGTATTACATCGTATTTTTCTCCAAAATCATATCACTCAAATGCTGCTTCTCCTGACCTCGAAAGTACTTCAAGAAATTGGACAGGATGTGAGTCACCTGTGTGAAAAGCATTTCACGCCTAAATGGTGTTTTCATGATGGGCTCTCTCAATCTCTATATGCCTTCTGTGTGTGTGTGTGTGTGTGTGTGCGCGCGTGCGTGTGCATAAGCAGGTAAGAGAGAAATTGGTATTCCGGTTTTCAACTACAGCAATGTACATTTAAAAAAAAAAAAAGGACTCCGGCTGAACTGCTGCCTCCAAATTTAAAAAGAACCCAGACTGTCTCTCCTGAATAGTAAGAACAAGAAATAAAAGAATGAAACGGCCTTCCCCCTGTTAATTTTCCCATTCAATTAAAGGGTAGTGGAATGAGCTGAGCCACTATTAATGGCAGTCGCCTGGAAAGGAATTGAGCGGCACATTAGAGCTCGGGCAGGGTCAGAGATGAAAGACTGGAGGAATGAGCTCATGAAGGGTGATGTAGTGTGTGTCATTACATGCCCTGAGGTGAACATTCGGACCAGAATATCTTCAAGCAGAACGGTTGATTTCTGACACAGCCTGCAAATGTGGCTTTTATGGGAAAATAGAGGCTTATGTATTATTGAGTGTTTTTATATGCCATGTGTCTTTGTTTCTTAGGCCAAGCTTTCTCTGTCTGAGTGTGTCAAGTGTGGATGTTTGCATGCCCCTCCCAAGCTCATTACCGTTGATAGGTTTCTGGTGCAAGGAGTCGACAAAGTTCCGGGGGTTCTCTATGGTGTACTTCATGTCGCGGATGGTGTGTGTGCCGCCACCCTCACTCCACATTCCCTTCTTCGAAGCCTTAGACTGGTCCTCCAATTCACAGAGCCTGGCCTGATCTGGACTGTTCAAACACACACAAAAAAAGAAAAGTGTAAGACAATATAAAAGGACAAAACACATTTCAAACTCTGGACAGCTGTTAAAGTGAGAAAATCAATATGTTGCTCTCTATATATGAAGTGAATAAAGGTTAGCTGTACAGCATGATTGTTTTGACCTCAATCCAATCCATTTGAGTTTTTTGCTGCCGTTTTTCCAACCAACAAAAGCAAAAAAAGTTGAATATGGCACAAATACTTTGCTTCTCTTTCCAGGCAACATCCTTTAGACCATCCTTATAACAGATGGCTGAACACCTTAGGATGGGGAGTTCAGTTCATCTGTTTTAATTTTAAAAGATCGGGGTATTTTTTACTGAGTAAAATGAGAAACCAAAAGGAAATCTCTAGAGCAACTTTATTAAATTCACTTAGTTAAGAATCATGAAACTCCTACTGTAACCTGCCGCGAGTGAAACTGATACTGAAACCTTCACAGATGGGCTGCTTACCAGCTTTGAAAAATTTCAATGCTGTTAAAGAACACTGTTGCAATAAAGCTGTGACAGCTCAAGTTAAAATATTGCTCTTAACTAGGTTAAAAACACATCTATAAAGATCAAAGGATCTTTGAGTGGCATAAAGCTCCTTTGACAACATGCCATTAAAGAAATATATAAATATATAGAATTACACCGCTAGCGCAGCCTGTTAACAAGTCGCAATTAATTTCACACCAGTCAGAAAGCAGTAGTCACTATACCTAACAAGGAGAAAGGTTTTTACTGTAGAGTTGCACCCCTTGTTAACTTCAACATGTTCTAATTGCTCTTAAGCCGGCTGTGTTAAAACATGCCGCCCCCCAAACGTCTTGTCGCAGTACGCAAATATTAGCATTACAAGAACTACAATTACAACAACCTGCGTCCAATGCAAAAACTATTTCACGTCTATTATGTTGGGTTTATTACAATTCCATCAAGTTACAGAAACGGTTGTAGCTTTTCGGTGCAACAAAACTGTCATTGGTCGTTAACTTCAACGCGTACAACCAGTGCTCATTAAAACTATAGAACTGTATAAGTAAGGGTTTGGTCAGGCTCCAGCTTTGTTGAATTAAGTGCCGTTCCTGACAAACTGCACTGCTGTTTTAGTGGCTACCAGCTGATGACCAGATTATAACTGCTTAAAAAATGTATCCGAGCATTCTGGGAGGAGACAATAACAGTGTTTGACAGCTCCTTCAAAAGCAACCACGCAGCTGGCTACAAACGCCACAATTAATTCCATGCTGGCTCTCTAAATTGTGCAGCCTAATGCTTTTTGAGGGCCCTTGTACAACTTTAATTATTCATTGCTTCAAATGGCCAACAGGCTTTTGTTTTTCCAAGAAGCAAAGGCTGCCCGATTGATATGGGAGTAGCGATAGTGACTAGAGCTTGCAGAGGCAACAAAGTGGGTCTCAATTAAAATGCCACACACATAAACACACATGTAGCCTGTTCTCCAGCTGTGTGTCCCTAATTGGGCTTTTGGACTTGTGCCCAAATCCGTCAAGTTCTCTTTTCCCACTACACTGATTTAGCTACAAACTTCAAATTAAATCGAAATAGTTTCTTGCTTACTGAGCAACAATAGCGAAACTTTCTCTAAGAAGTCAATCGTGCTTAAGCTACTTAGAATTTAGGCGCTTAACGGGAACAGAAAGCTACAAAGATAAAGTGAGAGAAGCTAACAATGCAATCAAGGAAAGCAGACATTGTAAAGCTTCAGAAATAAATGGAAAGCAAAATCACAGGCAGAGATTGGTATAGATATAGAAATAACTTCATGTGTGGAGGCAGATGATAGTGAACTTAGCCATGTCTACAAATAGACTGGTTTCTTTTTAGGTCAGCAACTCCTTCCAACCAACACAAATCAAAACAGATATTGATGGGGAAGAAAGTGCAATACTGAGCAAGACTACTGGAGAAACAAAGGACCAAGGAAAAACACCTTTCAATTCCCTTATATTTGAACATGCTGTAGGCTACATCTTTCATCTCCATATGGCTCCCTAGGGCAACCAAAAATACTTTAAATAGATACAAAATGTTGAACCTTAGCAAGCCATTTTACAGCTCCCTGTTGTGTTTGCACAGTTGAAGAAGATGTAGGATGTCAGGTTCCCCAGTGTACTTGACTGGAAGGGTTCCACTCCTAGTGAGCAGCGAGGCCCAAATGAGCACAGTTCATCCCCCAGACGTTTACACCCCTCAACCAGCACTCCTCTGGGGCTCCAGTTAAAAAGGAGCAACGGGGGGTGGTTATAAAGCACGATCGGTCTCCATGTTAATGTGGCTGCTCCCTTGTGCTCTGGTGGGTGGGCGTTATATAAGCCAATCAGTCAAACCCCCTGCCTGTGGTTTTAATTTTTTTAAAAAGGAAAGTGTAATGCAGAGGAATCGGACCAATTTTCAGGCTCTATTCACCTCAGTGAATGGATAAAGCATTTTTAAATAAAAGCAGTCTGACTGAGTGGCAGAGACTAAGAAGCAAATCTGAGCAGAGGAGATTGATGAATGGGTCTGTAGCAATCAGTGTATGGCTCAGCAGCACCAAGGACAGAATTTTTTTGTATCGATCAAGTGAAACTCAGTCCAATTATGAAGCCTCCTTCAGCAAACAAAAAACAAAACCCATCTGCGTGATTTAAATAAACATAAATCTGTCTGACAGACAGCGGCAATATGTAGGAAGATTGATTTTGGAAAGAAATTGGGAAAAGTGGACCATTTGCATAACTATAACCCTTTATGGTGCTTTGTGCTACTGTCACATTTAGCTGAATCCAGACCTAAAAATCCAGTGAGAAATAAAGTACTAAAAAAATTCCACACTAGGGTATATGTGCAGGAACGCTACCTCGAATCAATCATCTGTCCTAATGTGGCACTTCAAGCTGAATTAATTTGCTCAAAATGTGTTTTCTTTTCAAAATTTGTTCTTTAACAGCATTTTTACGCTACATAAAAATGGCCATTTATATGCAAAAAAGCTGATGTTCAAAATACATGGTTGTTAATTTTTTAGTTCAAATTAAATAACAAACCAATAATAAATGTGGACAGACACAAAAATCTGCATATTTTCATTTAAATCTAGTATAGTCAAAACAAAATTGAGCATCCAAACATATTCGAAAGTTGAATACATAAATAGACAGAAGTGAGCATTCAACCCAATTTGTGAGTGTTCATAATGCTTTAATAAACCAATGAAAACCAGCCCCAAACAACTGTGGCCCATCCTGCTCTGGTGCACCGCTGAGCACTGGCCCTGGCCCTTAAATTTGTGAACTGTTTTCCCAAGCCACAGTCAGCTCCTGAACATGTTTAACTGCACTGTCCAGAGCCATCATCATTATAATCACCCCCATGATTATGATCACATCATTGTTAGTGTGATCAACGTGGCCAGTCACGAGGGGTAATTATATTGGAGGCTAGTGCACTGAGGGAAAAACTAAGGCCTAAAGTCATCACTGAGTAATGGGCCTCCCCTTTGGCCAAATGATGCCCGCTTACACTTAAAGCATCATTTACATTAGTGCTTGTTCTGGGCCATTGCACAGAATGCTTGAAATGGGTCATTAGTGGCAAAATATTCACATCATCTCTGTTCATGTTGGAAGATACAAATGTAGCAGCATGAGTCAAATTGCTTGTAATGTGTGCAATGTGCAAATACTGCCACTGGGGGGGATATACAGTACTTTGTCATATAGCGCTGGGTGTGCAAGTGTATTTAGGGGATTACTGCGTAAGGGCAATGTAGCAGAAAAGGGTTTCAGAGGGACAACATTGTAGCAGCAGGGTAATACTGCCACCATCTGGGACGCCATGGCTCTATCTCAATTCTCTACCAATTGAGGACTTATGTATATCTCCCTGCAGACTTACCAGCGTTGCAGAAGATCCCATCATGCTGCCAAAAGCGATTTCCTCCTCATTCAGTGAAACGAAGTATACAATTGCAAACTGAAACTAGCTTTGACGTCCAAAATTAAAGCACACTGACCGAGCAAACCGTTTTGGAGGGAAAAGCACTTATGGTATCAGTCACACTCAAGGTCAGTCATGCCAACGTGGCTGATTATGGTATCATAACAAACATAATACACACCACAGAATGTATATGTAACGATTAGACATCTCGAAGATAAACTATGACACATGGTACAGTCACACATATTGGGATGTGTAGTGAACATATCAGTACACATAATCTCATCCAAATCTATTTACTTTTTGAGTATTCTTACCAAAAAAGGGAAAAAAATCTTACTTGTTGCCTCTGATTCCTTCCCTGCGGACTGTGGCAAGGCCCTCGTTCACCAAAGACTCAGCAATGTTCTCGCCTGTTGTGTCTAAAAATGAGAGGAAAAAGAAACTATCAAACACCACAATGGTTACAATTACGCAGCATTTAGTTCCGATCAGGTCATTTGATTGGACAAGAGGCAACCATGAGCTGATATTTGGTGTAAGAGGAACATTTAACTATGGGAAATCACTTTTTGCAAACAGTTGTTGGTTAAATCATACCTGCAGTTAATAATCTAACAGCAGGTATAACTTCCATGAAAAATACTTTACAGTAGTGTACCACCACCAAACTATTTGAAAAATACTGTATGTATGTATGTATGTGTATATATATATATATAAAAAATACACACAAACAATAGTTTGGTAGCACAATCATGTCCCGTGATTCTAGTGACGCCCAGAGTTGCCCTTAATAATTGCTGCATAACTATGTAACAGTTTGATTTCCACATCACAGATATACGTCGAATTATTTCACTATAACATGTTTACTCTGATATGATGTGGCTTTATTTCTCAAAATATAAACTGCTGAAAGATAAAAGAGAAAAGGAACGTTTATGGTGTGAGTATTTTTCCCTATCCATTAAGTATGTGGACATCATTCAGACCAGTCTGTGATGTTAGAAGTGACAGTCCACTCACCTCTCCCCAAGTAGACCATGCCGTACTCCCTGCCCAAAGCGGTCTTGATTTCCACAGTGAAGCACACTTCTTTGCCGATTAGCTTCTTCCGCAGGAACTCTCTGGCTTGAAAGGCCCATGGCTGCAATACAGACAGGAATATTAATGCACATTTAAACAGGGCGATCAAACCAAAAGTTCAACCACAAACAAATTATCAAGGTGACTTGTCAGTATCACTGGAATTAAACAACCAGTAGAGAAATACTGCTGCAATAACAAACATCATTTTTCATTTTAAATAAAATAGAAATTGTGTTAGTGTATTGTATTATTGTCAGACCAAATTACAGTCTGATCACAGTTAGATGTCCCCTAACTGCAGGTTGTCTCCTTTTGCCTATTCACAGCCACCAGACACAAATAAAAGCCCACAGTAGTAGAGTAAAAAATAGTATCCATCCACAAAACAATAATTAGCAGTGTGATTATCATGTAGACTGCAATAAACATTCTATTCAATACGATATTAGTGTGGTCAAAACAAACTCTCGTGGTTGATTTAAATTGATTTTTTTCTTTTTATCTGATAAAAAGAAAAAAAGCCATGACCGTTTGTCAGAGGCCAAATTGAAAATGTATTTAAAAAAGCAAACATTTGAGTCTTGCAACTTTCAGATACTAATATTTTTTTATAAACAGGCGGCAGAACAGACGAAAGTAACGTCTGGCTGTGATAAACAAATTGATGGACTTTTCAAAGGCTTGATAAGAAAATGTCAAATTACACCAGTGGTATCTTAAAGCCTCGAGCTCAATTGAGAATCGACATGTTTATCTCCAGGCTACATCATCATTTATACAATCAGTCATGCTCTGAATACCAATTCATACATAATCACACTGCTACTGTTCAATGGAAATGAGGACAGCAAAGCCATGGGACAAAAATTTCAAAGCTAAATCCACACAGTGAAAACAAAGATGCACAAATCGGCATTCGCCCCCTTAATTGGAATATGACAGTGTGCGTGCTGCTGGGCTACTTAGCAGGACCTTGTTGTGCCTTTGCCGAACACAGACACAAATATAAACAACCACAAACACAATGGGATGGAAGTGCTCACCTCATCGGGGGTGTCCTTGGTGTCGGGCTGGGCCTGAGCGGCTCGGCGGGCCATGGCCCCAGCTCGGATATTACTGAGATTGATCTGACGCTCTGGGGGTGGGCCGCCTCGAGGCTGGCCCCGAACAATGATGGCACAGCCTGACAAGACCTGGGGAGATGACAGTAAAGACAGTCAACTGCAGAAGATGAAATCCACAGTAAAAGTATTGGCTACAGTTTCATTTGGCAAGACACTCTTTTTCTTGCTTCTTAAAATCTATTCATCACCAAAAAAAGATGCAATTCACTGGCCACAAACACCTGGAACAAATACCAATCCCCACCCTTTCAGTCACCTGAGTGGAAGGAGAATATTACTGGTAGGTTTCAGTTTCGTTTTCCTCTCAGACAATACACGTGATCCGATACATTCAGTAAACCATAGCATTTGCACTTGCACTATGGCAGGGTCACGCAGGATACATTTAAAACTGTTGTAAGATAAACAAGGAGAGTAGGTAGGCAAATAAGGAGCTCATCATTTTAGTAAATCCGTCCGAGCTCATGTGTAAAAACTGTTGCGCGGATGCAAATCATAGTTGCAAATTCTAAAGAAATCACAGGAGCTACATAAAAAGCGCAAAAAATCCTGTTGGGATGTTACAGGAGCAGGAAAAACTATTGTCGAGCTAGAAAGCAACTTCACACTGCACGTTGCCATGGTGACAGTGTGTCATTCAAACGCAAGGTGAGATCACGCCATCTGATAACGTAGCTAAATACGAGAAAAAAAAAAGAAAAAAAAAGATAACCTACTCTTGGGTTTGACAACCGCGGCATTTACACGAATCTGAGCAAACAGCTTTTATCTGCGGACTCTCCAGTGTGTCTGTGGGGAGCATCACTGGGGGCTGTTGATCTAAGATGTGGTCTAGATAAAGTCTTTCATCCGATCACCATTGTTCCCCACTATCTGACTCAGTACCTCCAAGTACAGGCTAACCACCAGGCATGGGGAAGAAAGAGTTAAGGAGGCACTACCCCCCCCCTCTTCTCTGTTTACAAAAGGGCCAAGTTCCACTTGGAAAGTACTACAGGGCTTTGCTTGACTCCCTCATCAGCTTTCTCAAGGCACAGAGTTGACTGTGTGAGATGAGGCTCATTAATGAAGAGTCTAATAATATTACAAAATGATGTATTCTGTGTGCATAATAAATCAAAGACAAGGGCGGAACAGTGAACGTGAAGAGTTCATTTGAAATTCCAAATGAATATTAATCCAACCACTCTCCGCTGCACTGAGAGATACTGTCATTATTCCTCCGCAAAACCCTCAATTCCATCGGTAATAAACCCGCAAGAGTGCAACCGACTCACACACTTCCTTCTCAAGGGAGGACACCAGCGCTTACCTGTTTACAGTCGTTACCACAGGTCTGAAAACAGCCCGTCTTCAAACGCGTGGGGACGTGTGTAATTATGTGTTGCGCACTGTGATAAAGTACCTGAGTGACATGCACCTTTTATAACTAATCCCAGTATGGAAAACAACTCAACATACACAACAAGAGAACTCTGTACCTTTGTTTCACAGTCATGCATAAGACACAGGACTTCCACAGGAGAAACTGAGAAATCTAACTTTATCTAGATGAGTAAAGGTTAACGAGCCGTTAGGACAAAGTGACAGGTCCAATCTGAAATGAAATGGAGGTGAAGTACCATGTGGACGAACAGAGGCCACACACGTCCAAGATGAATGGGAGATTATGGGGGCAAGAAAGCTATAGCTACGTGTCAGTTTCCCGTGGTTGGCTTTATACAGCCCGCTGAGGAAAATGCTCTGTCTCTGGTCTGAACACATGAACCAGCTCGGCTACTACAAGAGTCTGGACTTCCTAACGATAATGACGAGTGCTTTAACCGCTGAAATATGACACAATGGCATTTCTAGGAAACGCTGAGAGGGACAAAAATGAAACCACATAACTTCAGAGAGACGCTTTTCATGTTAGCTTTCACGCTAGTTGGCCATTTACGTGGGGCTCAGTGAGAAAAACGAATTCAACTCGCGTGAAAACAGTCAACCCCGCGTTCAGTACCACCGCAGACCCAACTTTCTTCACATAAGTGTCAAGTCAACTAAAACACTAGTTGGCTTACAGTTTGCTAGCCGTTAGCTGGGAAACTAAACATCTGTTAGCGTTACAGCTAACAAGTTACTAACGTTAAATGACAGTAGTCTCCAGCCAACCTGGCCATTACTTAAATAAAAATACAGTTTTTTTCTTTACACGGTGAACTTTTCCCAGCTTAATATTTGCCAATACTCGTAAGTTACTCATGGCCAGCTAGCAGGATAGCAAACGTGTGCTAACGTCAAATGGCTTCAGCTTATTAGCAGGCTAGCAAATGTAGTAGCTAGTGTTAGCTGGCATGCTGCTGCAGCCAGGTGAGCTGAATGTTAGTGACAGCGAGTGACACAGTGCCAAACAGTGCTTTTAACCCACAGTTGTATTTATATCGTCAAACAAACTCAGCTTAAGTTGTAAGACCACCGACATTTAGTTGAGCCTTCGTTTGCGTTAGCCCTTGCCTCACTACGCTAACTAGCCGTATCCCCACACACATATATATATATATATTCATGTGTTAGTTACCATTTTCACAATTCCTCTTTGCAGAGCAGCAGCCGGAGAAGGGGCTGTCTGACTTGGTGCCGAAACAGATGCCATGTCCACCGGTTAGAGATATAACGCCGTTGAGGGGTGACCAGGTGAGGGAGCTGGGACTCTTGAAGTGAGTGACTGTTCTACTGAAAGCCAAGAGAAAAAGGCTGAACACCGATCAACACACACGTTATACCGGAAACACACTTTGCCATGCATACACACACGTCAAAATCTTTCCGGGTCCGGGGAGCGGAATGAATGGGAGCGAATGGAGCCGCTTCACGACCGCGTAGGCAAATTGAAATAAACTCTTCCGGTGCTAGAGGTGCGACACGTCAGCATAGTGTTAACCCAGCTAATGCTGCCTTCAGGGTCTCTCGGAAATGTTCCATTTCGATTTGAGTCTCATAAAAACGACCGTACAAACGGACAATTGAAGTATAAATGTTGCCAGAAAGAGGTACATTCATGTTTAAGGTTTTGAGATCACATAAGTTGTCCAAATAATTTATGTTAAACATTGTTTACTTTGTTTTAAATATATAGCTTAACTAATTAAAAGTTATACTATATATTGACTAATTTTCACTATTTTTTTTTTTTTTCAAGAAATACATTTACTCCATTATCCTTAAAGCTCCAGTAATATTTAGGATAACGTATTGGGAGAAATGGAATATAATATTCAAAGGTATGTTTCCATATGTCTATAATCACATGAAAATAGGAATGTGTGTTTTTTTTTTTGTTACCAATGAGCTGCTTGTATCTACAGAGGGAGTGGGTCCTCTTCTACAGAGTCCGCTGTGTTTAACCCCCACGTTTCTTTCCACTGTAGCTCAGAACGGACAAACCAAACGCTTGCTCTATGTAGGGCCTTTTTGTGCTTTTTGCAAGTTTCATTGCCACCGTAGTTTCTCCTACACACTTGTAAGGCAAGCAGTATTCAGTTGGTTGCAATCTAGAACTTCACCACTAGATGTCACTCAATCCTAGATACTGGTCCTTTAAAATGTTGTCCTCGTCATTCCACCCCTAAAGCATTATTACTTTTTTTCCACAAGATTTTAAGAATAAAAATGGTAAACCAAATAAGACATAGTTTTAGTGAGTGTTTTAGTGATTCTATTTAATATTGATAAGATGTCACACGCAAACATCGAACACACAAGCTGGTAGGCATGCAATGTAGATGCAAAATATTATTAAATCTTCAATGTTCTCCTTTATAGACCAGAACTAACCATTAACCCGTAGACCCTTTTCACATCTGGACTTGTCAAAGCATGAAAACCACAGGCGGAATTAATAACATGAATTATGGCCTCATTTCATTTAGGTGAGCCAGTTCCAGAGTCAGGGTGCTCTGGTATTGTGAATGCTCACCCACTGTTATGGCTTACTGGGACACTTAATGGAATGGAGCCATTGTTAATATTACTAGTAAAAATTGTGCTTATCAACATTCAACATTTTAACATTTCTTGTATGAAAAGAGTCTTCTGAGAAGTTACATTACAAAACGTGGGCATGTGATGACATAGGAAAAGTAATTTGAAAGGTGTTACCACTTCAACGTTGATTCACTGATGAGCAGGCTGACTCATTAAGTAAATGTTTGTCAATTTAAACTCTAAGAAGGTTTTTGTTAAGCTATGATACAATACTAATGACGAATCCTAAGTAATGGACAGCGTCACCAAATTGTGGTGATTTAATCATACCAGGGATAATCTTGCATCAGATGAAAGCATTTTATATTTCTTTTGATTTTTCTGTTCTGCTGCTGCTCAGTTGTTCTTGGCAGCTTGCAGATATGAGTAACTGTGTGAGTGGGAAGCAGCGCATTGCTTAAAAAGAACCTTAATACTCAGGGGAGCTTCTCTAAATATTTGAAGGCTAAATACCTTGATATGTTTATTTATATCATGACTCTTTAAATGATTTGACATTAAATCCCTAACTTGTAATGACTACTATGAACTGTGTGTGGCAGAGAGATACAGGCAGACTGGTTCTGTTTATCAATGGAAAAAAACATGTACAGATTGTACATAAACAGAGATAATTGTTGAATTTTTCCATTGGATACATGCATGGCTAACCCGTCGGCGAGGCATCAGTCGGGTCAAGAGCTGACTAGGTGACTGGCATTATACCATGGGTGAAGGAAAACCCATTATAAAATGTCTCAGTAAAGTGTTTGGCCATCACAAGCTGCCAGAATACCTTCAGAGCTCCTTGGCATAAATTCTGCTTCTGTCTGGTTAAATTCTCCGCTGTCTGTAGATCTGCCAGAGCAGTTGTTGAGCAGTTGTCACGAAGCACAGAGTTTGTATCAGCATCTCTGCGTGTAGAAAATATGTCAGTTTAAAGTAGAAGAAGTTATTTTAACAGTATAGTGAATGTTTTATAGGTCTATTCTTGTATTTAATTTATATCTAATCAAATTTTATTGCTGCAAATAACTCCCCTTCCTACATTCCACCACCTCTGTCCATGCCTATGTGTGCATGCTACAAATTATAGTGGCTTATGCACATATAAACATATGTAATAAGCTGTGTATGGCCCTCTGGCTGTCACATCACATGTCAACCCTGGCAGAGTTGAATGACTTGCAGGGTGGACATTTTGGCTCACTATAGTGTTTGTGATGATGCTTTGGATGATCAGTGGTTGCGGAGGGGATTTGTCAACAACTAAGCATTATCCAACTAATATATTTCGATATTATTGTAACAGATGCATTCACCATATTAAGCTATGGCAATTCTAATACACTGCCTAATACCAGAACATCTTCCATTTTTATTAGTCTGTTCCCAGCTTATGGAACTTAAGGACTTATTTTTATTTATTTGTCATTTTCATTTCAATAGAACAGTCAGTTTCATTAGTGTTTTATCAGCTACTCACTTAATTTACCAGTTTCAGGAGAGAAGCAGGCATCATGATATCACTGCAGAAAAAAAGAAACAAATAAAACACTATGATTTACATTCAATTATGAATAAATCAGACAGAAGAAAATAATGACAAAATAAAATGTTTTTATTTAAAAACGTACTCACATTGGAAGTGGTTGTGCACTAGCACTCATAGCTACTTTTCTATAAAAGTAAAAAAAAATAATATTAAAGTAGAAGACGTTTTCATAAATAATAAAAAAAAATAGCACGAAAGCTAATCATACGTGGGCGTGACTTAGGCGCATGCGCCCCGACACAGACAGTCAGTACATTAAATTAAAATTGCCAAACTGTGTTTCTGTTAAATTCCTGGTCAAATCTATCATTGTCTTTGCAACAGACTGTGCGTTTACCTACAGTTGACTGCGTTATTGAACAGCTGGTAAAGATTAACTCGGATTTGCCACAAACTCTTTTGGTGATTGTCGTACAACCTTACGCACTCTTTGGCTAATGCGCATCATAGGACCACACCACAACTTCACACCACCACTGTAGAGGAACGCGCACTGGATCTTCAATGTTCCGTGGACGTTATTATTAAGAAGGCGGTTATAAGCAACTGTTAGAGCTTAGCTGGGTAATGTAGTTTAATTAAAACCCATACGGATATGGCTCGTTTTGTTAAAGCGCCGTGCGCAAAGTTTTGGGTAAAAATAAACTGGCAATCCTCTTCACCAACAAACCTAACGGTACTTGAGAAAGCAGGAATATCGCCGGCCTGTTTGGTGTTTTATGTCATTTAGCCTGTTTGAAGTCATTTGTTTGTGTGTTTGAGCTGCAGTGCGCAGCAAATACTACAACCTGCAAGGAGTGACGCAAATGTTCACATACATTTTGTAGATTTGTGTCAGAATCAAGAGGAAAGATCTCCGCCGTGTGCATGCTATTTCACCTGTGTTATGAGAAGATACGATGAATAAACAGATTTTTTAAGATAATATCGAAATAAAAGAATTTTCTCTTCAAAAAAATGATGTAATTAGTCCAAAACGATGGTAGAGAATAAATGCGGTGATGTGACATAGGCAGTAAGCGTAAATACAGTCAATCTATGCTGGGTATAATGTGTAGGCACTTAAACAAGTCAATAATCCAATTTTGAGTCTTTAAATGTTTAAAAAATAAAATAACTGGAACATTCCAAATAACCTTAAGACACATTATTTTGCGTGTTTTAAAAAAATAAGCATTTAATACTCAGTTAAAACGGAATTGTATGTTAAGATAATGATTTCTGTTTTTTAGCCTACTGCTGAAATCGGCCAATTTTGTCACGGATATGAAAATACACAGGTAGGAGATCTATTAACAATAAAAGACTGAAAGACGCGTCTGTGTTCACGGGAGGGAAGAACATTCACTAAAGTCAAAATCTAAATCAAAAACCTAGACAATACATAAACCTCATAACCATGCGGAGAAAACTGCTGGACAAGCGACCATGTAGGCAGCTCCGTTGCGCACACAGCACCTCGGCGCGCTTTGGAGAGGTTTTGGTAACCTTTTTACGCGGATGAATTAGTCACATTTCTCAACGCTTCAAGACGCATTTAAGCACCGACATATGTGTTTTATGCACAAAACAAACACATAGGATGTGCTAGTAAAATGTCCACTTATTTTGTGGCACGATTTAGCCACTTAAACTGCCGCTGACTCGTTTGGCGAGCCCAGAATAAAATTTACGCACCACGAATATGTGGCACTGTCTTAAACAACACAATCTAAGTACTTTAATCAACCTCGTTTGGCACACACTGTACGTGCAATAAAGTACTATAAATCAATGACCACATCAACTGCCCGGTAATAAATAAAAAGGCTTGCCTTATTTGTCCTTTGTCTCGGTTGGCAAGGAGATGATGGTGTCCAAAAATGGCTGTCCTCTATCTAACCTGGCTGATTGTACACAGAGAGTATTATTGTCCTCTAACTCATGGTTAATGTATAATTTGGGCCATATGGCATTTTAAAATCTGAGCCTTTATTTCGGTGGCACTTCGATCTGTGTGGACCCAACTAATGATATTCAATTAGTCATTAAACAGGCCAAAAGACGAGCCTTGTGTGGGTTTTCACATAGGCTAATATTTGCTCGTCAAATATTTCCCTTTGAAACGTTTACAACGCATTTTTATCTGCTGGCTGCCCAAGGAACATCTGTGAGGGTTATTTTAGCCTCCCTCTTCTGGATAAACGAGGTCCCCCAATTGGCCCTTTCCTTGCGCCCATATACGAGTCTATTTGTTCACGTTTTGAAAGAAAATGTAATAAAGAGAGACTGGGTGATGGATTTATGATTTATCAAAAGCACTTTACCATATGGCAGTCGTCATCAGTCATTGGCGCAGATTTCCAAATGTTTGTTTTATGAAAGGAGACCAGAGATCCTTTTAATCTGAGCCACTTAACCTGGGGAAGGATGCTCAAGTCACGTGACCACACGTATGGAAACATACCAGTGTTGATCATTTAGTTTCTTTGGAAGAATTTGTAGGATCATTTTAGCGGGATAACGTGCACCGAAGCAGAAAGTTTAAGGACTGAATTGTGTTGCACTAAAGAAAAATGGCTCGTCTGATGGAGACTGTAGGCAGCCACTGCGCAAAAGGAAAGCAGTCTGAATTCCCAAACTTGAATATTACCATATTTTTCCACTGATAACAGCAGTACACAGACATTTTGAATTTAAAAAAAGAGAATTTATGAGAATCCAGAGGTAGAAATATTTTGTTTTGGGGGGTCGATTAAATGTGGCAGCCAGGAAATCTAGTACACTCTTATTTAGGGACTAAAAAGTAAAATAAGTGTTACTTGCTGAAGGAATCTTTGGAGGACTCTTACAGAATCAGGCATTTGACCACGACTCAATCCATCTACCTTCCTCTGGATATTGCTTAAATCAAAATGAACTGGACACATTTTTGTTTTTGAAAATCCCTGAAAGAAATGAAAGTACAAGTGGAATGAAAAGCAGAACATTGTTATATGTCTTCTGCAGCCTAAAGACACTTCGGCAGCACAGACCTACCAATCTGAGGCCCATTTTAAGTCTAGAATGCCCACATTCACTTCCAGGCAATATTGACATTTCAGGTAACAGGCCACCACGTCATGTTGAGGTCCGCAGGCCTATAAATGTCTGCTGAAGGGCGTGATTCCTCTCATTGTCATTCACCAGAGATACTCGGAGTCACCTGGACGATTTATTTTTTCTCCACAAGCGACGTGGTGTCGTTGCACATTTCGCATCCTAGGCTGCTTTTTTTTCTGGGAACATTATTTTGTTTTTGTGATCAGTTTCCATCACCAAGGCTGGGAGCAAGCAGGGATGTGTGGAGCAAACGTTGATCTGCCAAATAAAGGTTATTACTTTTTAAATGTTTATGAAACTGCATTTTCAAGCTATTATTAGATGGTAAGACACCTAATTAAACAGTCTGGTGAGACTTTGCAATGCAATAAGATATGAACTATAGTAAATGTAATTAACTTTTGCTATGTTTTCAAAAGGGATAAGCTATTTAAACCAAATAATTTAAAAGACAGATTTAAATGTGTTATAATAAGGTGGTGGAAGTGTCAATCAGCTTGGTGGGATGTTTCTCAACGGCAGACCTCTGCCAGAATCCAAGAGGAGGAAAATGATCGAACTGGCCTCGGAGGGAGTCCGTCCAAGCCAGATCTCCAGGATCCTCCGGGTACGCAAAAACCTTTTTTTGCACAATTAACCACATTTAGGCAAGACACGTTGGCTGTTATTGTTGGTTATTCTCACCAACAGGTCAGATGTAGCAAATAAAAACATCACTTCATATGTTTTTCATTATTCATTGAACTCACTGCGTATTTCAGGTGTCCAACGGGTGCGTCAGTAAGATCCTGAGCCGCTACCGCCGCACAGGACTCCTGGAGCCCAAGACCATTGGAGGGAGCCGACCTCGGCTTCTCACCCCCGGTGTCATCTCCACAATCATCCAGTGCAAAAGGGAAAATCCAACAATTTTCGCTTGGGAAATTCGAAAACGGCTTGCAGCAGCACGAATATGCAAGGCCTCCAAAGTTCCCAGCGTAAGTGAAATTCCAGTTTTGTTTCCATGAAACTGAAAATGTTCCAGCGTTTGATGATGCTTTTTTTTTTGGACACTGTGCTTCTGCAAGGTGTCGTCTATCAATCGGATTTTAAGAAAGATCCACTTGGACCAGGGGCCGATGTGCATGGAGATCAATGCGCACATCAGGACTGAGCAAGGTAAATCGCCTGTGGAGGTCATTGGATTGCTGAAAATAAGTGAAAGAAGTGAAATTGAAAATTTATGGTCATTATAAGGGACGTATAGTTCCCCAAATAACCTAATCTGATGGTTCTAATACCAGTTTATATAATCCTGCCTGTGAATTTGCACACAAATAAACTGTAATTCAAAATTTGGGTGATAAACAAAATGTAGGGATGAGTTCAATTAGGTCTAACCAGCATAACAAGCTGTGTGTGTGTGTGTGTGTGTGTGTGTGTGCATTGTGCAGATTTGGATTCTCTGATTCAAGAAGAAGTGAATAAGAGAAAGATTTTCGAGACAGTGTGCAGTAATGACCAGAAACCTAAAGGTGTCCAGCACCGAAACCGCACCACCTTCACCCCAGAGCAGAGCACAGCACTTGAGCAAGGTAGACTTCAAATCTTTAAAAAATGCATCCATGCATGTCTCAGACTAACCCAATTCTTTCTGTTTTTTTCCACTCAGAAAAGCACTTAAACACATGTTTCTATCTCCCACTCAGAATTCTCTCACAGCCAGTATGCAGATATGTACACGAGGGAGAAGCTGTCAGCTGAGATCAAACTTCCAGAGGACACCATCAAGGTAGACTCATCATTTTCAGCCATCAAAATGCTCAGAATCACACATTCAGCCATTCTGCTATTGAGATGATTATCTGTCTCTCAAAGGTCTGGTTTTCAAATAGACGGGCTAAATGGAGGAGGGAAGCCAAGCACAGGAGTAGCACACAGAGTAAGTATGTGTGTGTGTGTGTATTTGGATTCAAGTGTTCAAGTCGAGATTTGGCAAAATACTACATTTCAAAATAGTAGGCTCTTCAGCACATGTCCGTTCACACCTGACAGTTATTTGACAAAATATATTTCTCCACACCTACAGACCTTCAAAAGCAAAGAGATCTTGTTCCTGTGAATCCACCAATGCCGCACACCTTCACATCTCAACAGGTACAGTGTGAATTAGCACTTTGTGAGACAAACTTTAAAGCCCCTGAAAGCTTTTTGAAACAGAACACTTTTGGTTGTTTCAAGTGAGACATTTCTTTTATTTTTCTCTGTGTTCTTCTCACTGGTTAGAAATGGATGATGAAAAAGCCAACATGACATATTTTCATGCGCCAATTAGCATTTAGCAACATTTGAATGCAGTTGGTGGGTTGTTTGGTAGTACTGGTGAAGCAGATTAGCTTACTTTTTGACTCTTAAACTAATTAATAATAAATAATACCTTTAGAAGATTTTTAAGACAGACACATATAGTCACATTTGGAATATCTGTGTTGATTTGAAGGCAACAGGAGTGTCAAGAGTCTGCTGTGAAAACTCAGATGCCTCCGCTACATACAACACAGTTGCCAGGAAGTTGCAAAATGCCTACTTCTTCCCTTCAGAAACAGGTATGATCCTGCAAAATTCTTTTTTTATTAAATCAGTGGGTCAAGTTGTCTCTTTAGTGTTTCATTGTCTAGATTTTTAAAAGATTAAAAAGTAGTGTAGCCATGTTGATGGTAATAGTGAGTTTATATGCTGTATGTGTAAATGTAAGTGCAGCTACAGTGTGTAATGTAAATGTTTGAGAAAGGAAACTCATTATTCTATTCCTTCAATCGGATATACAGGTATGGGAAATTCTGAACATCTGGCATCCATCTCAGTCCCACCCTCATTCCTCCATCAGTCTAATAACACGATGGCACAGACCATGACAGACAGGACTCCACTGGATCTCCACAGAGATAGATTCACATTCCCACTGGTTCACCATCACGCCGATGCAAGGACATCCCTCCCTTTGGCAACTGAGACAATAAGAACAGACCGCCCTGTGACTCAGTGCTGGAACCAGCAGGATATTCCTTTTACTTGGAGCCAGTTTCCAACAGATGAGAGGTTTCTGTTTGCACAGCAGCCCTGGGATGTGAATCGATACCTGGACTAAATGTGTGATCACACTCATAACATTTGTGTTTGATGTGCAGGGTTGAAAATGCATGTAATTCTCACTGCATCAGTTTCTAGACTGGAGGGACACATTCTAACCACCAGAGGGCGACAGAGAACTGGAGTTACAGTCTTGTCCTTTACCCTCACTCTGCAGCTTCACTCATCACCTTTCCTTTCTTGAATTGCCATTAAAAAGGAGAAACGTAGAAAGATCTTAAGTATGTTTATAAATTCAAAGTTCTTGTCGTAATTTTTGATTGGCTACATCAGAAAATATTATTGTATTTTAAATGAATCCACTAAACTAACCTGTAAAGAAGAGAAAATTAAAGCAATTGTATAACACATGCTGTGCTGAATAAAGTTGGACAGATAATATGGTAATACTTCAAAAAAAGGTGGTAATCAGTTTTATTTATGTGAGTTTCCATGAAATAATTTGCTCTATGCCGACATGTTATTAAGCCAACATGTTCTGTTTGAAAGGGTGTAGATTTTAGAGGGTATGTTAAGTCCTAATAGAGAACAATAAAAGAGAAATATTTGGGTATAAGAGCATAACTTTAACTGGATTCTCTACAGTATATCTGGTCAGTTATGTACTATGATTGTAACATAAATCATAGCTCCATGGATCATTTAAGGTTACCACTAGATAATATGGATGTTATCTCTTTTATAGTCTTGGGCTTGCTGTTTGCTTAAATGCAGAAGGAGATTCAGGCGTTCTTCCAAAAATTTCTTTCCTTGGGAGGCCAGTGGGAAAATCTATAAAAGTATAGCTTCAAAAAGTCTAAACATGACCTGATATCTGCTCCGCTCGGTATCAGTTTTTATGACTGCAACAGGGCAGAGGCATTGAGTTCCTTTATATCCCTTTACTACAGTGAAGAGACGGTAAGACTCGGAGTTTCTCGATAATTGGTCAACGGGGGAAAGGTTGGGATCAGAAGGCAAACAGCTTGGCCAGCAGCATGGAAGTCGCCTACTGGCAAAATGACCTGTCGGAATTTACTGCTATGAAGGCAGATAGGCAAATTACATCTCCACATGACAGTATGCGTTTGTATTGTGATTTCTGCTGAATTCGAATCATCTGTATCTTTTAAATAGCTTTTGTTCAGCTATTGAAGTGGGAACATGATATTTCTCCTCCAATACATTTCAGAGGCAAATTCTGCACTTTTTACTTCACTACATACATTTAGTTCACAGATACAAGATGCTTATAAAATAGTATACATCGTTCTCAACCTTTTTGGCCGGTGACCCTTTTACAAAAAAAGCAATGTCTAACTGTGGCTTTCTGACATGCTCCACATGGTTTCTTAACTGTTCGAGTTTCCAAGATGTAAAATGATCTAATGTTTCACAAAAAAGCACAGATTAAAAGTTCAAAAATGAATAGAGATTTGTGTAGCAGAACTTTCTTTTTTTCCAACCCCATTAATCATCTCACAACCCCTCAGATTTATCTTATGACCCTTTGGAGGGGCCTGACCACTAGGAACAACCGCACTATATAAAGTAGTTAAAACCAGCTCCACTTCAACCAACTACAGCAGTAAAATGCTGCTCTATGCATTAAGGCGTCACTATTAACAATCTAATGTCACATATAACTATATTGTGGGAGATAAATGTTTTAGATGGGGTAGTAAATGTATTTAGTTTGTTTAGGGGACTTGATTCATCACACTGGGTCTGTAATTCTTCAGAGAACTAGCAACTCTCAACATTTTGGAAGAGTTTCTCCTACGATATGAACACAGTAAATTTTTCAGCTCAACAAGTGCTTTTATTTTAGATATTTACATTTTGCTCATAATAATTCTGTACTTTTACTTAGTTAGAATTTTGAGTTAAGGACTTCTATTTACTTTATTTATTTATTTTTACATCTATGTATCGCTTCTTTTACTGTAAGTAAAAGCTCTGAGTACTTCTTGTATAGCTTTTACTTTAAAAAAAAAAATTTAAAATGTAAGATTAATTGAAAAATGAATCTTACATTTGAAGCATTATCTAATCTCACATTGAGCAACCAAAAGTTTTTAGAGCTGCTTAAAAGTTCACCCAAGTTCAATTGTATCACACTTGAGCATGGGATGGACAAATTTGTTATCCGAATGTTTAAGACATGTTATTATTTATCTTCTTCTGTGGTTATATTGATGACTCTGGTTGCTTTCAGCCACTTAAGAATAGTTATCATTCACTAGTATTTGCCTCTTGGAGTGATTTAGGGAGTAAACTGCCAAAAACTGAGCCAAACCAATTCTAAGTGTGTGCTGCTTCCTTTTTCCCTAGACATATCACACATGGGAAAAGCCAAGAGAAAGAAACCAAACGTGGCCAAATGTAATGTCAAGTTGTTTATTAAAATAGGATTAATACAAAGGCTATAGAATTCAGAAAAGGTCATAGATATAAAACAACTCACTAACACAAAATAGCAGCTGTTATATTTAAAGTTTACAGTTTACAAACATATAAACAGAATGATCATGAAGAAAAAATACTTAAGTATGCTATTTACAAAAAATACAAATTGTAATTTATACAATTTTCTGGGCTATTTACAAAAAAGGTCAATTAAATAACAGTTACATCGTCATAAGAGCACAGAAAACTGATCAATAACCAATGCGATATTTGGTTTCACCTCTCTTATATAACAGTTGTCTTTATTGAAGCTTTCTCCATTTAAATTTCTACTTCATAGACTTTGTAACCTTTGCAAGGCTATTAGAGGACTCCATTTGTACAATTAAGGACACAGATATAATTTAATTATATGCAGTTTTGGTCTTTAAAACACTTGAACCGAAGGAAAAATGATTCACTGACTTATGGGAACCTGCAATTCATTGCATTAAAGCCTCTAATAACAATATTTGTTCCTTTATTGTTATGTACCATTTTTCATGTGATATTCAGTCATCTTAAAGCTGAGAATAGAATACATAGTTTAACTCTTGCGTAGGAGCCACACAAACAAACAACTCGGAACAGAACAATGTTAATTTAGCCCACAACAAGCACTCTTGAATTAAAATGGTAAACCATATGAGGCATACTGCATGCATGATACTTTATGTTTGTGAGGCTATTATCCGTGAGTCAAACATGCAGTTATTATGGGCTCATAATTACTCCTAGAACAAAGAAACAAAGATCTAAAAATCAAACCAAAATCTGGATTCTTTTCAAGCGATGTCTTCTAATTTAAAAAAAATAAATACACCTAACTACTAATTACAAGCTACCAGTCTCTTTAAATATTAAACATAATCAGAGGCACGAAGAAGCCAATCTGACATTACTCAGTGAACCAAAAATATTCCAGATCTATAAGACCTATAAAATCTTACAGCACAGCAGAAACATACTCAATAAATCTGCAGTTATGTACATAAGGAGTCACTTTCCATGAAATAAAAAAAGTATAAAATATCCTACTGACCACACACAGCCCACCAGGGGCTAAAGTTCCCTCCAAACTGGAGACCAAATAGCCATGTTATATTTGGCATGGCACTTCTCTCTCTCATGCTACAAATATTAGCATAAGATTTGGAGCAGTTTGCTCAGTCCTACTTAGACCCTCTCTCGGGGAAACTAACAGTTACAGCTAACTGGGGAAAAGGTAGTGCAGCTACTGCACACAATTAGCACTACATAGTTTGCCAAGGCTGCTGCAGTTAGCTTTTCAAGCAGCAGTTTTATAAACTCACCTACTGATAATGTTGGAAGCCAAACTTCAACCTTTGCTGGACTTACAGGCTTGGCTTAATCACTATTTTAACATAGGGACTTTTAGTGTCTGTCTTACCTAGTAGTGAGTTTATAATGACCTTTCCATGCTTTTATTTTCCTCCGTTTGGGTATTACTATAGTTTTCTGTTGGGTTATTTTAGTAGCCGAATAACATTTTTCACAGATATTTGAAAGGCATCCTAAAATTTATGACCATATAAGAATGTTTGTTGACATAGGAATAAGGAATACGATTATTATCCATACACATCACTTGTGTTGGAGGTAAAAAGATATGTTTTGCAGTCCAGCTCAACACATACAAAGTTCAGTCCCAGTCGCACTACCTCATGTGGTAACCACCAGAGAACTAGGTTCTGTCCATATTCAAGTATATTCCAGGAGATAATACTGATTCACAAGTGTCATTCTCGTTGTCTTTGCATGGCTTCAGAAGTTCTGAACATGTCAAAATACAATTAGTAAGCTGTCCATGTGCCCGAGACTTTGGTTGTAAAAAATTATATTAAGGCTAACAACCTGGATGTCTTCTTTAGCAAAGTGGAGGAATGGTTGAGACTCCATTTGGTTTATCCAGTCTTCCATCGCTAATCTCTGTCATCTCTGTAAAATGACAAATTTAGCCACAAAATCCCCAAATGGCCACTTTCCACAAGGTGACTTTCCTAATTTCTCCCCCTGTGGTCCATGCTGGAGAGGTCTTGGAATTTGTTGGCCCAAAGCCGCCCCCTCCTTTTCTCAGGCTGTGGCAAAGTCCTGTATGGAGTTGATTTTCACACCACACCATCAGTTCCTCTCCAAACTGGGGTAAAATTTGAACACTTTGTATATCCACTCAGAGTAGAAAGCAACATTAACAAAAAGCGCAGGCTGTGATGAGGCGCATTTTGTCCTTTGGATGCTCAAACCAATAATGACTTTGCGCTCATGTTCCTGGCAGACCAATGGACCACCATTGTCTTTCTGCAAAAAAAGGTCAGAGAATGACACATCAGAGAGACACCAGGCTGATAAGGACGTGATGTGTTATATATGTTTAAACTAACCAATTCCATTTCACACAAATGACAAAAATTGGCTATTTGGCATCTTTTTCATGATGTAGACAATTATTTCTGATCCTTACATCACATACGCCTTCTCCCCTCTTGCCGCCGGCACATATTCTGCTTTCCCCAGCATCCCCTTTGATTTGTGAGCACATGTCATTGTTGACCATAGGCATGGTCACAGCATTCAGTGTCTCATCGTATCCTGTATCTGAACAGAGAAGAATATGCAGCATAATTGTCAAATGTTTCAGATATTCTTTTGGTTTGAATGATGGTTAAAATGCGAAGTATCGTGGCATATGGGTGAAAGAAGGCAGTACTTTTAGTTTCCCCCCATCCATACATGGTGCAGTTGGTGCCTTCGGTGATGTGACACTCTTTTACTGGAAGATGAATAGTGGAGGCACCTTCAGACACAGGGGCTGGGCTATAACAAACATAATAACAGTCATACATTACAGTCCCTGGCTTTGAATACACACAAACAAGAGGCGCATAAGGCAAATAAAAGAGACATTAACTTTTTAGATCAATAAAAATGTGTAAAACAACCAAAATTTGAATGTCCATTCATTCAGATGGCCGCATGACACTGATAGTGGTCAGTACAATACATAAATTAGTTTTCCATATCACTAGTTATGCTATAACATTAGGATCTTCAATTAATGGAAACCTTAATAAGTTGTTGAGAACTCACTCTGCTAGTTTCAGCATAACCAGGTTGGATCCTTCAGGGCCACAGATCAGGCGAGAGATGCGTAGTCTCGGGTGGCTTGAGGATTCATTGAGGTGGCGCAGACCAACCTGCACACTGTAATCCTTGAGATCTGGAACACTGATGACCACAAGCACCAAGATGTAAGTTGTAAAGCGACAGTATTGCCCAGACTTAGTTTGAGACTTGCCTGCATTACAAACCAGTCATGTGGGGTTTGAAAGAAGTGGGCATTTATGTGGTGCTGCTTTGATTGTGACTGTCCTTTTCCTTCCTGATTTTAGTGAGTCCCTCAACTTTATGGACGTACAATACTAAATTGCTGGCGTACTTCTGTAAGGGACAGTAAAGAAAGTGAGCCTTGCTCAGATCTCATGTTCTCATTTTTTAACATTGCTAAGAAAGGGTGGTAATCAGAAGTGACAAGTCAGACAAATATGAGAAAGACAAAGAGCAAAGTTTCAAAGAATGGCTTTCCACAACCCACACTGGACCAAAGAACATCAGTAAACTACTGATGTACACCATATGCAATACATGCAGTACTGTACACAAGTGCAGAGATAGGGACATTTTCTTTAAAGCCACTACTTCAGATGTAGAGATAATGTATGGCTCTGGCATACACGACTTCAGAAGTTAAACAGATCTGCAAGCTAAACAATTTTGTTCCATATCTCATGTCAGGCATGTCTGGGAGTGTCAGTAAATAGGATACATCCTGCATTTTAACTTCAAACAATACTAAAAGGAGGGCAGAATGAAGAGAAGAAATATGTTTGAGAGATAGAGTAAATGGAAAAGGTAAAAGAGAGAAGAATTTGGTTAAAGCTTATCAGGCAAAGAATAAAAGGTATCAGAGGGTGGAGTATTACCAGGATGTAAAGCACTGCTGGTCGGTTAAAACCCAATCTTCTCTGATCAACGAACCCCCACACAAATGAGCCTTCCTAAGAAAATTTAAGAAGACAGTTTTTACCATTATGGTAGATATAAAAGCATAAAAAAGACATAAAATAAAAACAGAGCTGTAAAATGACTTACTCTCTTTGGATGCTTACAACCCAGCTGCCATCTGTACCTCGCACTTGGTGTCCTCCAACAATTCTGGTGTTTATATGCACGAAGCATGATATCTTGGGTCGAGTCAGAGCTAAACAAGGAGACATTTTTATGCTGTATGTCAGATGGATTTATTAATCACATTTCAAAGGGAAATGTTTATTAAAACTTCAAAAGGCAACCATAAAATATGATTTGTTTAGTCAGGTACATGACAACAGAAGGATTTGATATAAAGCATAAAAAGGGGAAAGGGGACAAGATTAGAGATAAGAGCACGAGGAAGAGGACTAGACTGGTAAAAGCCAGATGAGCAAAAAAATGATACTCACTGTTTGGTTGAGGAGCCACTGTAGTTGATTCACCTGAAAGAAGTAAAGAAAACCCAACAGTAATAAGAGACCCAACAGCAGCAGGAAACAATTCAAACCACTGACCATACATTGACACACAAAGCATGAAACCTCATTAAAAAAGACACCCTTCTTTACTTTATAAAGACTTATCTCTGAATTTGCATCGTTGTTGGAGGCTAGGACAGTCAGCAACCGCAGAAAGTAAATTTGCTCAAGACCTCCAAAACTTCACGGAAGATATGTTTTACATTATGGAAATTATTGTGCAGCCATTTGAAAGAGGCTCTTCAATGCAGCCAGATTAAAACCAGCCAAAGAAAATGTTGGGTCCAGTTGAGTGTGTGTTTTCCTTAAATAAAAGGATGGCAGCAAAGACTTGCATCTGTTTGCTGTTTGAACATCGTGTATTCTCTGCCAATTGGACAAAACCACAGCTAACAGATTACGTAAGCCACCAGCCGAGCTGCATAAAAAAAACAGTTGTGACATTTGAGTTGAAGTCAACAAAGGCTGCAAAGCTAAAGCACTTATGTTATTTCATTGCACTCCACCCATACACCAACACTGTCTTCTTCTGTGTACCAAATGCCAGTTAGTGCTCTTTCAGAAGTGCTGTTTACAGAGTCTGAAAAGCTCATGAAATACTTGTTTCTTTTCATTTTTTTTTTTACCAATGTGTACACACAGACAAGCTGCTGGGACTTGAGTGGCATTGTTCACATACTTCAAGGGGGGCTGACCAAATCATTCCCACCTGACACTGATATATATTTCAAGAGAACATTTGCACAATGTAAATATAGCTATCCTACTTTTCACTACTGCTTGTATCTGTCTCTTGTATGCACTTGTGTTGGCAGCAATCGAGGTGTCTTGTGTTCAGAAATGCAACCAAAACAGGGATCAAGTTCTAAAACACAACACTGATTGACAGGCAACCTACGCAATGTTTTTTAATTAAACTCTCACCACTGAAATCAAACACATACCGGGAAATGTGGCAACCTTTGTACCACACTTTCACATTATCAGTAACACCCTTACTCGCTTTTTCACTTCAAAAGCAGACAAGAGAACAATGCTTCCCAACCTTGTTTTTAAAGACCGTCCACCTGAAGGAAATAGTTCTGCATTTTGGGAAATACGTTTATTCACTTTCTTGCTAAGAGTTAGATGAGGGGGCAGACGACGTCATGTCTGTAGGATAAATATAAAGCTGCAGCCAATAGCTGGTTAGCTTAGCACAAAGACTGGAAACGGAGGAAACTGCTAGCCTGGCTCTGTTCAAAGATAGCAAAATCAGCCTAGCAGCACATATAAAGCCTAGTAAATCACATGTTATATGTTGAATGTTTAATTTGTACAAAACATTGTGGTTGCACAGGTGTTTTGAGTCTTTGTGATAAGCTAAGATAATCAGCTCCTGGCTTTAGCAACATATTTACTGTACAGACATGAAGAAAGCGAACAATAGCGGCTACTTTAAAGGTCTGCTAGATAGACAGCAAAAAATGCACTATGCAAATGCATTATTCACATCCTTTCTACTATGGTGAACTAAGGGTCTGCTTATATCTATAGCTTAGGCCTACGTAAAACAGATTTATCCACTTCTACAGAAACATAAAGTTAGAAGAAACACAGTTATTTAAGCCACTCACAGTGCTTCAGTTTGCAGTAGTCCCAGACCAAACGGTTATTTGGATTGGTATAACACCAAGGGCCATGTTTGTCCCGGTCAGGGTTCCGGCAGTAGTTTTTCTCCAGCCCTACATGTGATTCTGTAGAGTGAGAATCCCCACTGTAAAACACACAAATACAGATTCTCATATTCCATTTGTTATTTTGCGCACACAGTGTATCGGAACTAACACTGGGCCATGTCTAATAAAGATTCATACACACTCTCACACTCTCAAAACACACAAGCCTGTGCATACATGGAGTCGTAAATACACTGTCACACACATACAGTACATACAGTGCACACTGTAAGTAACCATGGTATGTTTGGAAAGTCTGACTCTGGCTTTCCTAGTGCAATGAATCCTCTGCATTTGCTACAGAGAGCCCGTAGAAGGAAACGCAGAGTTTTGTGGAGAGTGCTCATGGGAGTATGAAAGTATGCACTCTAAGCATTCAGCAGGGCTCAGACCAGCAGGAGCCTATAGAACGATTTGGTTGCGCTCCCGATTTGTAGGAATTGTGTGACTTTTTTACATACGTCTTGGCTCTGACAGAATTAAATGAAATCTTCTAAGATATCCAAAATATCCCTGAAAAACAATTACTAGGTAGGCGTATGGACACACACACAAAATAAAGCTAAGCGATGGGTAACAATTTGTCAGGGGGTGAAGATAATTCCACTTCCCAAGAGAATGTTAAACAAGCTGTAGCTCTCAGCAGTTTTTCCTGGGATGACCCTTGACCTTGAGCAGGGTAGACTCACTGGCTGCAGTCTACGCAAGGGAGCTGATTGGCTTTGATCTACTTTCCTCAGAAAGCACTTCCTGGGGTCAGGGGTCGGCTCTGGAACATGTCCATCTGTCTGTGCCATTTTGGCTTTTAAAATTCCTGTAAATTAAGTAATTCTAACAGCCTGACTTAAGCATGAAGCAACAGCCCTGGAGTGGGCAACCTTTCCGTCACGATGGGTCACTTAGAGAGCACCCCGGGGTTTCCTCTCGTCAGTTAGATGAATAATAATTGGGCCTGGTATTGACCCCTGAGGAACCCCTTATTTCCTCTTGCTGTTTGTTTTCACTGCTTAGCTTCATTCATATGAAAGGGATTTTCACAAGGCAATGGGAGCTAAGTTGTCAACAAACACTCATCAACTGAGCTGAAAAGAATGTCAGCCTCTCTAGGAAATAATCTCCTGTGTTTCTCAGTACAGCTTAACCTTGACTGGGAGTAAACAGAAGGACCAAAACAACAAGTTTATATGAAGAATAAATTACTTTACCTGTTTATGTGATGTGACCAGTCTGCACAGGGAATCCCAGATCGAGTTATAGATAAAGTGCCCCTGTACGTCTCTCCATTGTCTTCGTAACACTCTGAGGAAGAACAGAATAAAGTTATTTTAGACCATCTTGTTAAACAGGACCAGGAGAAACAGAATTACTGAGCTCAGTTTCTCAAACATCTTAATGCAATCAGTAAGTGAGAATACCTAAAGAACTGCATATGTTATTGTATGGAAGTGGCTATTGATGCAAACTTGACATAATCAAGTTAAAAATGTTGGCTTCTCTTTGTGGTTTGGATCAATTTAATGTCAAGGGCCCCTGTGTAACTGGTGGTTCTCGAATATAATAGAAAAATGAAACCCTACTAGGTCTGTTCTTAAACAGAATCAGAAGAGGGACTATAGTAACTAACAGACTGGCTGCAGTTTGATATGTGTGGTCTTCTCACTGTAAATGTAAAGCAGAGAAACTTGGGAAATGACAGCAAGCACTATTGCCAAAGTCTGGTGTATTTGTTCTTCCATGAAATGGAATTCATTGGGCAGCATGCTGCCAAGTGGCGCAGTCCTATGGGAGCAATATAGAAAGTGTCTGTGTAATTCCACTTTGCAAAAACATGACAGGGCTTTTGAAGCATTTGTACACTACATATGCATTTCACAATCACATTGTTCAAGAAACACCATGGAATTTCCATAGTAATTGACAGGATATTTGCCATTCTTTTGAAACTTGGTGCTTATAAAACACTTATTTGCTTTCTTGCTGAGGGTTGGATGACACAATCCACTCTCACATCTGTATGGTAAATAAATGTATGTATCCAGAGCCAACAGCTGGTTAGCTTAGCTTAGCATAAAGGCTGGAAACAGAGGCAAACAACTATGCTGGCTCTGTCCAAGGAAAACAAAATCTGCCTACCTAGCTTTTTCACACCTTTTCCAGGCTTTATACTAAGCTTAGCTAACCAGCTGCTAGCTCTAGCTACATATTTACTGTACAGACATGATAATGGTATCAATTTTCTCATCTAAACTTCGGCAAGAAAATTACTCAGCATATTTCCCAAAATGTTGAACTGTTCCTTTAAAACTGAAGTTGTACAGTAATTTACCTATTTTTTGTGTGGCCTCAGCATCACACCTGGGGATGTGGGTGCAGTTGGCTATCCTCTGATTAGGGTCTGTAGTGAAGCACCATGGGTAATCTGCACCATCAGGGTTACGGCAGTAGTTCTCTCTGAGGTCTCTATAACACATACACAAACTACAATTTAAATGATGGTGCTGATGACTGTATTTTTTACAGCAAAGATATAATTTTTAAGTTTAATTCTCCCTTTGGCATTTCAACAGTCAAATGCACAAAATGACACAAATCACCTCTTTGACACAGCCGAGAGAATTGAATCCAAGCTGTCAGGGGGCATGAGGCAAACGTTACTCACTTGCATTTGAAGTTCTGAGGGATAAAGGAGTGGTTATGGGGAAACTGGGAGTCCCAGCGCTGACATGTCACACCCTCTGGAGTGACGTTCATTGTGCCTCTGTAATCTGTGCCCTTTCCCTGGACACAGGATGTTGTTACATTGACATCTGTGTCCTCACTTGAGTCTGAGTCTAGCAAAGAAACAAAAAGACATTGATATTGTAATTGTTAGTATGGGCATGAGAAAGAAGATACACAAAAAAGAGAGTGGGATGTAGAAACCGAAGGCAGGAAGGAGGGGGGAGAGGAGGAGGGAGATATTAATCCCCACAAGAATGTGTCATGTTTAACCTAGAGACAGATGATCAAAAACAGTAGCACTCCCCCTTCGTCTAAACTGACATAGGAAACTTTTCTGTGTATTCATAACACTGATGCATTCTTGCACGTAGGGACATCCGCAACACAACAATATGCAGTCAAAGTGCACAAAATGTCACAGGTTGTTTTGTAAGAAAAACCTGGAGCCTGATTTCTTTTTCTGGTAAATTTGTTTATTGCAGCCTAACCAAAGATATCACATCCAACCCGACCTAGCTGGGGCAACTTTATCCACCGGAAAACTATTCCAAACATCTTCAGATGGAATTCTGCTTTTCAGCAGTGCAGGGATTGCAGTACATAGGGAGCGACTTCTCCCCTCTGGATTTCTGTCTCTGTTTCTTTAGCCTTTGACAAATGAGATGGGAGAAGATGGAGGAGGAAAGAGAATGTTTTGAAGCAAAAATGAGAAGGCGGATGGAAAAGAGGGATTCTTTGGCTTGATGTAATGCATGCCAGTGTCTGTGTGCACTGTGCAGTACAGGTCAGTGGTTTTTATCTTTCTGAGGGGCAGGCATTGAGGGATGTACACATCTGGACAAATGCAGATCCTCCACCCTCGCTGTAAATCATAATATGTACGGTAGAGTACATGTGTGTATGTGTTTGACAGAGACAAAGAGAGATGATCTGTATGTTTGTGGGTGTGCATGTGGGAATATTTCAAGAAAAAAAATCTCCAATGGTGTGACCTCTTTTTGGCATCCATTCTCTTTCTTTCCCCTTTCTCTTTTGTGTTACATGTGAAGGCAAAAATTGCAATTACAACTCTGTCAGAGTTGGCTAAAAAGTGATATAACTCAAGTAAAGTTATACTGTTTAACCCCTCACCTTAAAAAAGCTTACATAGAGTACCATATCAAATACAATACATTTTCTTTTTTTATTAATCTGTACACTCTTGTTTCATCTGTATAACTTTACGAAAATAGTAAAACACAGGCATCACAATTTCAACAAACGCAAGATGACGTCTTCACATTGCTTTTTTTGTTAGCCCAAGATCCAATGATATTTAATTTGCAGTGATACAAAGCCTCAGCTCCTTGAATTTCAGAGGCTGGAACCAGAGAAAGTTGGGCATTTTCTCTTGATTAATAACTTGCGTAACCCAGGTTCTCTAATTGGCATGAGTGAGATGTTTCCTTACCTATAATGTGTAATTGAGAGATAACTTAAATGATAATCAAATCATTTAAATTGTTGACTATTCCATTGAGCACTAATACCGTTCGGGAAAAAAGAAAATCTATAAAGTAAAGTAAAGTAAGGTTCTGGTCTATTGTGAGCCACCAGAACATCTTCAGTGCATCTTGGCATGGATTCTACAGATTCCTGGAGTTCTACTGGAGGGATGAACACCATTCTTCCAAAAGATATTCCCTCATTTAGTGTTTTGATTATGGTGGTAGAACGTGTAGTTTTCACTTAGGATCTGGTGACTGTGAAAGCCATAAATTATGATTATCATTTTCATACTCATCGAACCATTCATTGACCCTTTGTGTCTTTTATGGCAACATCTGCATTCATTATGTTTCTCCACTCCACTTTAATTTGTAATAACATATCATGTTTTTATACCACTAAAACAACTATTAGACCTTCTGATGGCTATGTGACGCATCTCCATATAGTAGTCTCTATTGTAACACCCCACTTTACAGCCTCTTGTCCTCAATGAGTGGTCTCAGTAAAACACTGCTGGCTCTCTGAAGTCAGACCCTCCCCTTTACAAACAACCTATTTACTCTTCCTTGTTGAGGTAGAATGATTTGAAGCCAACCACCACATGAAACACAGACGGTTAAACAAAAATCTTATAAGACTCTGCAGGAGAGAAGACCAAAACCACCAAAGTCTTGTATGTAACAAACCCCCTGGCATCCTCAAACCACTAGCTGGTAGAACCTAACCACAGTCTGTCTGTTCAGCAAGGGATCCTCAACACTATGTCCACTTTTGAATTTTATAACAGATTCCTAACTGCGTGATACACACTGTTGAAAGGTTGTAAGGGCACTAGACATTGGGAAAAACTAACAACACAGTCATGAATCAGAGTTAAACACTAATTTGGTCTTCAGTTGATTTGTTGAAGACTTTGTCCACAAAACCCAAGCCCCAGATTTGGAGTATATACAGTACATAGGCCCTTACCACACACAGTGATGTTGCAGTACTCCCACGGAGTTTTGGGATCCATTGTGTAGCACCAGGGACGGAGACGATTATCTGGGTTACGACAGTAGTTGTCCTTTAAATCTCTGTCCCGATACCTGGGAGAGGAGACAGAGGGGATACGGGGAGGAAAGAAAATAGGGGGGGAGAGAAATAAGTCATAACAACTAGTGCGGTCTACCTCTCTTGAGTATTAGCGTCATTTCTTTAAGCATCTGTCGTGGGTGTGTGCTGAATTGTCCGTGAGAAAGGTTAGTGTGTGATTATCAGCTTTGCAGCTTACTTTTTGGGCTGGAAGTGGTGTTTGTGAGGCCTTGCTGAGTCCCATCTCTGGCACTCCTTGCCACTTTCTGTATGGTCCATTTTTCCGTGGTAATCTTCCCCATTACACGTCATGCAGACTTCTGTCAACAAAGAAAACCACATTTATCAGAAATTTCTTTACGATAATAATAAATGCAAACACAACTTACTTATGACTTCAAGGGGGGAATAAACTACAGAAACATTGATTAAATGTAAGAACATGTCTTACTCTCTGAACACTGTGGTATGCCACACTCCTCAGCTCGTACATTGGGGTCTGTGGTGTAGCACCACGGACCACCCGGGTCGTTATTGGGATTCCGACAGAAGTTCTCCCTCAGGTCTTGCGTTGGGTACCGATCAGGATAAAACCTACAGTAGAGTAGGCAGACATTATTGAAAGTGTTAACTGATACTGTAAGCTGTATAAATAAATTTTAGGGAGTACTTGCACACTTGGCTGATCCAGTGGTGTATACAGTACCGTACCTGCCTGCTAGTTGTCTCAGTAACAAACCAAATAAATTCAGAAGGCATTTAGATTAGATGAAAACTTCATTCTGAGAAATTCTAGTACCTCTGCTGCTACTAGGTTACATTCATTTACCTGTCACAGGAATTTCATGCAAAGTAAGTCATCAATACGTTTCTTCTTTCCAGGTTTGCACCTTTTGCATGATCGCCTTACTGATTCCTACCATATCCCAGCTCCCTCATGTGTGAAGCAGCCAGACTCTGTCACACCACAGTAACCACCAACAGCACAGAACAATGCTACGAACCACTTGGAGCAGACCAAGCAGGTCTTTTGCTGGCAGCCTTTGAACATGTTTAAACCTAATTCCTCTCTGTCAACGGCTACACCATGTCAGTGTGAACAAGCGACTGTAAGAAAAAGAACCTGGTTAGTCCGAACATATGGGATGTAACAATGGGGAGCGGATCCCCCGTACTAAATGGACAGTGCGTGAAATTTGTCTTCTGTCATGGGCAGGATGATGAAAAGCTGGCATGTCAGCACCCCCTGATCCATGCTGACCACATCCCCCCTCCCACCCAGGGAGACAGCGAAGGAAGACAAGAGAAGAAGGCTGAAAAGAATCAAGTGAAGTGACGGACTTAAGTGCTTAAAATTGAAGTGAGCATAATGGAGTGAGCAAAAAGGCGGGAGCTCAGTGTTAAATTGATGATGTAAAAAGAAACAACATGTGCAGGAAAAAAAAAAAGAAAAGCAAAAAGAACCAGAGTCCACCCTCCCTTCAGCAGCTTGTCTGAACACACTACCCCAGACAATGACTCTTTTCTTGGGGGAGTCTGCTCTGCTCTCCCCTCTGTGCCCTGGGGCTTACACAAGGCTTCTACACTAATGCACAACATCATTCAACCCAGAACTAGAAGAAATCTCAGGCATCTAACTTAAAAAGAGAAAAAGAGAGAAAGAAGGGGAAGGTCTTAAGTCCCACCTCGAGAAATATTACAGGGTTAAGACTAATAGAACATTTTGACTTTGCATGTAAGACAAAACACTTGTTCCCAGTCTGCCAATTGCCAAAACTCACATCTGTTGTGTGTAACTCACAAGCTCAATATATTTCTATCATAATACAGTATCCTTAATTTATAAATGGAATTACAAGGTTCCTCACTTTACAGAAAAAGGTTGCATCTGGTGAGAGTCCGTAAAAAGGCTGCAGCATGGGAGCAAGTTAGCCATAATGATGTTGAGCTAACAGATGTTGGCCAGTTATTCATCTCCTTGCCAAAGTCTGTTCCCATCGGAGTGCAGGCAGACACTATGCACACATGCCTTGCTCTCTGGGCCGGCTTCACATATTGGCTAGATTTTGAATATCACTAAAGATGAAATCTAGACCTGAAGTAACTGCTGCAAAATGTCTAGCAACATGCACCTGGTGATTATGGAACAAATGTGGCCATGTTTCAGTGCTTCAGCATCCAAGGGAAGAGAGCATTCAGAGATTAAAGCAAGCAAGCAGGGACTTTATGAATCTTGAGACATCAATAATGATTTTTTGGAGGCAGGATGCAATAGCTGAAATTTTGGTGAATGCGTGAATTCACTTTCTTGCTGTGAAAAAAGAAATGTTTATTTGTGTCCATTCAAAGATAACAAAATCTGCATACCTGCACTTATAAAGCTCACTAAGTTACCATCAGACCATGCTAACTACCACGTTTCCTCCTCTTTCCAGTCTTTCTGCTAAGCTAATCTTCATATTTACCGCACAGACATGAGTGGTATCAATCTTCTCATCTTCTCAGCAAGAAGCTGTAGGATTGTGTTTCTATAGCGGAGCCCGCTCACTGACTCCGAGTGAAAATGTGTAGAAAAACAAAAGAATGTCCCAGTGGGAATAAATAAATTCCTGTTATCTATTATTATTAATAATATGAACTGAAATTTTCCATTCCATTTCATTCTCCACGCGTGGCTGGACATCAATACACACTTTGTTCAGAGCTTTGGTTCAAACACTAAATATAGACAACAGGTGGAAGTCCCCTTCCTGTAAGGGAACCTCCTGAGAAATCACCCTTGCCCCACGGTGATCGGTCAAGCATGAAAATAATAGTTACCTGAAACTCAAATGGTGCGTGGTTCATTACGGCGGTAATTCTCACACAGCGGGGCAGTCCCATGTTAGGTAACCCCACAGTGGCACTAAAGCTCCCTTAAGTAAAGCTCCCTTTGACCCTTTGAAAGTTAAAAGTTGCTGACAAGCCAGGACGATGTTGTTGGACATTACATTTGCCATCTGGGACGGGGACTGGAACCATGTGTCAAATAAACAATGACAAAGTATTCCTAATGTGAAGAGCTGCCTCTGGAAAGGGAAGAGAGGAGAGGAGAGTATGGAGACCAACGCTGTAATGCTTTTTAAATAGTGGGGGATGACTGAACTTGTAGTTTCTCTTGGTATGTCTGTGGCTTTGTGAGCTCAGCTGGACAACAGACAGAACATGACTTCAGTCTATAAATTTTTGCGCTTTCTTGCTTTCATTCGATCTCCCTTCTGTCTATTTTTCACTCTGCACTTCTTCAAACTCTTATTAGTCTGTCTCTCAACCCCTCCTCCCTGCAGCAGTTAAAATATCTTGTAACTAATGAGCCCCACTAATTAGATGCTGGCACAGAACCATCTTCAAAAATTCACTGATCTTGCCTGGCTTGTAGCCGAGATGCGACCTCGTTGGGATACACCTGATGGCCTACAGTGCAGCAGAAAAACAACCTCAGTGGAGAGGACATCCTTGCATGTGTTGAAAGAAATCTGACTTAACTCTGGCTAAACGTTCAACCGTCTCCGAGCCTCCACCTTCCCCTAACCCCCGAGGTGCAAGGGGATGATCTGAACATCAATAAATCAGCTGCGGAGGCCTGTTCAATATCAGACACAGAGAAACAGAGAAGGAAGGAAGCATCCAGGAAGGTGGTGGAAGCCTTAAGGTTTGAGAAGCTGTTTTTTTTTTAAAGGCTGCTGGTTCAGATCTACAAGAATCTGGCAAGAGGAAGTGAATGATTATCACCTTCCACCCTTTAAAAAGTGTCATGCAAGCAAAGCGCAGCACCCTTACAGGTGACATGTGAATGTTTGTAACTGTTCTTCCTCTCATGAGGAAGCTACTTTTTGTTGATTTTCCTGGTAAAAAAAAGAGAGGACTTACGTGTGTTCATTGATGTTATTATCTGCCCAAGCTTGGCAAGTGATGTTCGACTTCGTCCAAGACCTCCTCCCTCTGTAGTTGTCCTTGGTGCCGATGATACACTCCCTTATATAATCTAAGTGAGAGCAAAGGCATAAAAAGCATTTGAAAACATCCATTCACATTCTCACTTTGATACAAGCTGTGTCCCTGTGTACTCTTTGTGTGCCAATTCATACAATGTTGAGTCACTCAAAAGTTGATTTGCGTTTGCTGCCTTGACCACCTGGAATATATTTTCCCATCTATGGTCAATAGGACGCTTTTACAGTGAGCGTTTTAGTATGTCCCGGCTTGTGTGTTATTCTCAAAACAGACAACTCCCTGAAGTTCATTAAATGTCACCGGAGGGAGTTTCCGTAAATTTTGCAGTAAATTCTAAAGTGCTGGATTACACAGACTGCAGTGGAGAAAAGCCTTTGCGTTCTCACTGTAAACAATTAATTATTTTGTTTACATCCCACTTGAGTGTGTTACATGTTTATGCATGCGACTCTCCCCACTGCAGTGATTAAACAGCAGGGGGGTTGGGAAGGGTTGGTTGCTTTTATTGTGTCAACAGAAAAACCAAAGACCTCAGATTGACACAAGAAGCACAACCTGCAATCACCAACAACCAGTTTTTCCTGTGTAAATCCCTCTCTGCAACTCAACGTTCTCATGAGAAAAAAACACCAGAGTGCATGGAGTCAGCTTGAGGAGACAGAAGATTTTACCTTTTTTTTCATACAAAGTAAAGTTGATGTTGGCCTGCTTCTGCACACCGTGGGTGAAACGGTCAAAGGGAAGCAAGTGGCATTTCCTGTTGTGCCGTTGAAAGTTGAAAGCTCTGTAGCAACACACAGGAAGTAGATGTGAGATGAACAAATGATAAACAAAGAAAAAATATGTAAATACTGTGTCTACACATGGGGAGGAGCACTGAGGGGAACGTGGCCATGGAGAAACCACGTGCTGGATTTCGGGGAAACAGAGAAAGAAAATGGAACTCACCTGCAGTTGAAGTTTTTCTTGACCTTCTTGCACTTGCGGGCGCAGTGCTCCTGCGATCGGCTGTTTCGTACCACAGGGGGCTGAGGACAGTCTGTGCAAAGCAGCATGTGACTCTCAGTCTTCTCATACTTCTGTAATGACTGATGAGTCTTCCTACAAAAACCTGCAAGAACATGAGGACGCAGGAATAACTTTGCATGTTTTGTTACAGCCATTAGATTGATATTTTGGTTGGAAGGAGATAGACCTGCTAATGCCAGGTTCATCTCGTGTGGGAGTTTCTGTCTGGTTCTGACTTGTACTGTAAATACCATTCACATGAGCATCCAAATTGTAAGCATGACTGTGAAACTTTGATTTTCCTGAAAGCTATGAGTTAAAGGTCCAGTGTGTAACACAGGAGGATCTATTGGCAGAAATGGAATATAATGTTTAGGTATTTTCATTAATATAAATCGTTTTAAACTATAAAGGGAGTGGGTCCTCTCCATGGGGCCGCCATGTTGAACCACCAATGTTTCTACAGTAGCCCAGAAAGGTCAAACCACACATTGGCTCTAGCTAGGACCCATATAGGGAATTTCACTGCCACCATAGTTTCCCCTACACGCTTGCAAGGCTGCGCTGTATTCAAATGGTTGCAATCTGCATTTTCACCGCTAGATGTCACTGAATCCTACACACTGCTTCTGATACTGATACAGAATTGGCAACAGAACAGGCAAACAAATATGTATGGTCACATCAGCTAAAGCATAACGCTGCTACCCAAATGTTATGGATATAGTGTTATATTGTCAATCTATAGTATTTTTAACCCTTTACATGACCAACTTTTCAATCGTGTAACTGTCTTAAGTCGAAGTGAATGCTTCTTCTTCATTTTACCACCCACCCATAAGAGTTATCCAGTAGCCAGCTCTGTATCGACTGTTTGTTTAAGTTCTCACTCTAACCAGAGGACAGTTTTGAGTTATCATCTGTTTATGTTAGGCTCCATATTTTCTAACAGATCTGACCAGGGTTTCTAAATTTCTTAGCTTGCCGTTTACTCACTGAGTATCACTTTCCTCTGCAGGGTTATTTAATGGAATGTGGTTCAGAATAACTGAAAAAAACAAGAAATCAAGTTGGGGGCGTTCCTAATAGCCAGGTGGACGGGACACTTGTTGTATGGCGGTGGCATCCCTGGTTTGGTTCAGGCCGAGGCCCTTTGTTGCATGTTAGAACCCCCTCTCTCTCTTAGCCTATTTCCTGTCTGTATCTACTCTGTCAGCTATCAAGTAAATCAAAATGCAAAAAAACTAAACAAAAAGAAAGAAAGAAATTCTTAGAAACCATGTGGAATTTTTTGTCTCCTCTTCACTGACAAAACATCAAACATTACTCAAATACTGGGAGACATGGCCAAACATTTCACTGGTGCTGTCAAGGCACTGGGGATGAAGAGGAACTTGTCAAATCGATGATGAGACTATTTCCTGAAGTTTTCTCCTGGTGGTTTTAGAACAGCAGGAGGCATGAACTGGTGCCAGTGTCTTGGCATGGAGGAAGAGGAACAAAGATGAAAATAAACACTGAACTAGGTGGTTAACTGTCCATAAAAGCATCCTTCAACTACAGTTTGTTTCAAGCCCCATGCTTGCTGACATGTTAGCATCCCTACTCCTGAACCATACTGAAACACTGTGCAAGTCCAAAAACCACTCAAAACTCTGGTGTCCTGCAGCTCTTGAAAAAACATTTTCTTTAGATCGCGCTTCAGCTGTGTCGAGGTAGCACACTAGTTTATGTGTCCCAAAAGCAAGTATTAAGTGTGTCCAGGATCAAAGCCCAGCTCAAAATACCCCCCCAAGCACAACTGCTTCAAACCAAGGAGGCTGCCTGAGTAATGCAGTGGGTGCTGAACTGCGAAGACAGCCAAGAGAACAGAATGATGTCCATCCAACAGGCTGATGTGCTCCAGTGCCTCAGTTGGAGATTTGATGCTCATGAAAGCATTTCTCATATTTTACTGCTATATTTTAAAGAGCCAAAATCATTTTTTTCAACAATTTTTACCACTGTGGTATTTGTTATGCTACAGTTTTATGTAATTGTAGATACGGTTGATGGATATCTGTGATTCCTACAGAAATCCATTTTAACAACTTGCATTCATGACTCCTTAACAGTCACGAAAGTCTTATTAGAACTCCTGCGGTTTAACTGCAGCGACACAGAGTTTATGCCTTTTCATTTTGAGCAACAAGGTTGACATTTGCTTTTTAGGGAACAACAAGATTTAGTTGGAATTCCTTCTTCCCAGGATAGCCTTAATGTCCCTCATCGTTTGTACGAACTAATAAAGTTTTATGAATAGTCTCTCAGCTATTGGCATTCAACACATACTAGTAAACATACTGTCATTTATTGAGGGGCATTTCATTGTAAGAAGTACATAAAAAGATAAAAATTCTAACATTGCAAAAACATAGCATAATGTATATGAGATCCAAGTGGGTTCAAAAGCAGGACAAAGCCATATTTTAAGGCTAAATCCTTTGCGATACAAATCATTCATTTTTACCTTGTGGAAAAAGTTAAGAGCCCATCCTTCAACAGAATGGAGCTCTACTGTAAATGCTATTTTCTGAGTGCTATACGGCAACATCTTTAGACGCATAATGTGTTTAGTTACAATAGTTTTCCGTTTGTAATGAGGGGCAAGTGCGATATAAATCACACAGGAAAATCTCATGCTACCGAGTTACAGCCACATGCTCCTGTGCCAAGATCCAACACAAGACGTTGTGTGTGTACTTAGGATATTGTAAACTGTGGAGCGTTTAGAGGCTCCTCGTGGTTGAAAATGGTTTTTGGGGAGAACGTGTTATTAATGTTTGGGCTCCACTGGACCACATCTGGCACTCATCACAGTGTTGTTCCAGCCCTGATGTCTGGCCAGGCTGCTCAATTAGATTTCACTTAGTCTCTTCCTCTCCTTGCAGTCAGACTCCTGCTATCTCCAAATCCCAAACATTTGCTGAAGTTGGAGATTATAATAAAATGTGCTCAATGGGCGAGTATGAGAGAGATGAGATTTAATGAGAGGAGGCAGTGATGGCTTAGAGGAACAGGTTTTAGTCTCCGGTTTAACTTGAAAAATGTAGAGAGGAAAGGTGAATGACCGACACTCCGACCTTCCTCAGAAACTTCCACTCAGGTGCCCTTGATCAAAGAGCTGAACTGTCAGCTGGATGAGTATTCTAGTCAAGCTTTCCTGCAAAGGAAGCTATTTGATAATCACAAAATGTACACATTTGGAGGCGGTGTTGAAGAAAAACAATATTATAAGAACAACAGGAAAGTAGCAGGTTAAAGGTGTGCCTCTGTCTGGGAATTAAGCAGACATTACATCTGCTTCAGAGAGCGCACAATGTGGAGCTGGGCTCAGCAGCCAGATGTTACCCCCATCCCATCCCCTCCTCACCCCTCTCTCTGTCATACACACACACACACACACACACGCACACACACACCCCTTTTCGATCTCTCTACCGGGACAAACGCACGAATACCACAGTCCCGGGCGCGCATTTTATACTTTCCCCAATTCCAGGGCGGTCAGAGGTCAGGGTCGGCACCCGTGGAGGTGGTAACTATGGATTCAGTGCTTTACTCAGTGACATGTTAGCGAGGCGGATGTAAGCCGGGACACTTTCTGTAACCACCAGATAATCTGCGCTTCGTAAAAAGGAGCGCGCTCGGAGCTCGTTTGGATGAGCTTTAACCGACTGGCGGTCGTCGTGTGAGCGCCCCGGGTTGTGCTGCAACGCTACAAGCAGACACTGCATCCTCTAGCTGGAGTCAGTCCAACAGATGCAGGAGTGTCTATTACTGAAATCACCATGACCTATATAAAAAGTTTATTGACAAAGCAGTAACATCAGCAGATGCACTTCAAACCGAGCGCTTTGGCACGGGTTTCTACCTCCAGGTGGCTGGGATGGCACGGTCCTTATTGTGAAGGAGAAGACTTTCTGATGATGAAATATTATATATAATAGAATAAAATATAAATGCATACATTCTACTGGTCTTCAATTTGCTTATTGGCGATTAGGGCCAATTGTAAATCGCAGTAATGGGAGCTCCTAGGGGATCAATGAGTTAGTTTCAGGAGGATCAGTTTTGATGAGCAGCTCAATTATTTCATTCATTGTCCAAAACAGTTATTAAACGTTTAGTGAGAGACTCTGAAAAAAAATACAGCCTTAAGTGAGATCTCTTCACAAACTTCAATTATTAACAACAATTACCCAGCAAAGAGAGAGAGAGAGAGAGAGAGAGAGAGAGAGTTGAATCAACAGTGCAAGACAGGGCTTGTGATTAAGTTCATCCAATGCCAGTACAAGTCATATGATAATTAAATAATTAAAGGCTGATTAGTTGGCCTAAACACAACAAAATATTTTTTTAAGAAGGCTAGGCTGCTTTAAGACAGGTCCTGGCTGACGAAATCGAATTTAAAAATATGAGAAATGGCAGGACAATTATCTTTACACCCACTTTTCTAACTTTTTCAGATTTTTTATTCGTGCTTTTTTTTAATTACTGGACTTTCTCTCGTGTCTAATTTTCACTTTACTGCACAGACAATCTGCAGAAAGCGAAGGAAACAAGTGAGTTTTTGTGTATGGGACTAAAAAATAATCACAGTAGATATATAGGCTATTTCTCATGCAAATATTCAACATCCACCCAGACATCCACAGCTCTTCAAAGTCTTACCTGTATCCAATATAGTGACCACAACACACACCAAAGCTTGGTAAATCCATACGTTTGTCCTCATGGTTAGGGACTTGAAAAGCAGATTAGAATCCGGATTAATGGAGCAGCAGAGTCGCTGGCTGTATGAGGTCCAGAGTGGCTGATGACCAGCAGAAGACTTCCTCACACAGATGCCACTTTTCCAAGAAGCTGCACGTCCTCGGTTCAACCCCCCCACTTCACTTGAGTTTGTGCTCCCCTCTATCAGCGTCTCTCCTCACCAGCGTCAAGTGCGCTGGAATAAATAGTGCAACTTCCGGCTGTTATTTTCAAAATAAAATCGGATGTGACTCACAAGGCCTGTTGTTCAGCAATGTCAAAGTCACCGATGATGACGCCGACAAATATTGTTTGTTTAGCCATGGTCTGATGCAGCTTGTTTGTCTCTGCCATAGACAGAGTCATCAGAAGAAAAAAATCAACTGAATACTGAATACACATCAGTCCATCTCACATATATTCTGGTGCCTTAAATACTGATAAGGGCATGAAGGATGTATAAATCCACATCTTTAGTTGTTCTGTGCACATCCTGAGTTGGGCAGCTTTACAAGAAAACTTTAGTAATTTTGGTGAAGGGTGAAGGGTGCGAGTTGTACCAAACTCAATTTATCAACAACATATTCACATTTATAATAAAATACTACACTGATTGCTGTAAAAAGCCTTTTATTATTATCTAAACATTTATTATTACAGATGACTTTGATGTTGGAGAGGCAGAAACCTGTTATATGAATAATGAATTATTATTTATTAACTAGTCACTTGCTACTCTTTATTACTGACTTTATTAATGACAATGACTTATAATGACCACCCAGCCAGCCAGATTTTCAAACAGGTCATTGTTTGACAAGATCCTTTCTCTGTCTCTCCTTACTTGTCTCACTTTGGCCCAACTGAAAAGGCAGATGGGATTCTTTACATGGTGTGCCGAAGAGCACTTGGCACAAAGTAGTGATTGCATCCTCAAAGGATCAGCCAGTTGAGCCAAAATGCCTAATACAGAACCAGAGAAAGTGCATGAGCTTAAAACATGCAAACAAGTGGGAAAAGAGCCTAATTAAGTGTCCTTGAGCGAGACACTGAACCCTAACTGCTCCTGATGATCAGTCCGATGCCTTGTATGGCAGCTTGATACCATTGGTGTATGAATGGGTAAATGAGAGGCTTCATAAATGCAGTCTATTAACATTATAGGCCCCCCTGTAATCATCATCTGTGTACAAAACCTGATTTAAAACCAGTGGAGACCATTGGAGGGCAGAAAGCTGCTTCTTTTAACACTGATAAAGTAAAAACACACCACATTGATATGTAATAATGCGCATGTGCTGCTGGTAGTGTGCATCTTAAGTTAATGACTGGTTGTAAAGTAACGAATAAAGTACAAAGATTTCTTCACACGCCCTGACAGACACTAACTGTATGTTCTCTTATCTTTAGCTCTGTAGCGTTCTCCAGAGCGTGGTTAGGAATGAGCAGTTTTGTTAATATGGGCTGGTAATCCCTAACCATGAATTTATCATCTTGATTTTAAACGAAAACGTCCCCTTCATACAAGCGACGCTGGCGTTAGGAATGATTACAACACATTCGCTGAATATCACAAATGAGGATGAGATGAGGATGAGGGGGAAGCTGAAAGCCATCACAGACCACCCCTCTCACCTTCTCTACGCTGAGAGGAGGCATCTCAGGAGCACTTTCAGGCACAGACTCACCCAGCCCCGAGCCTTAAAGCGCTTAGTTTGTGCCATCAGCCATCTGACTCTACAATGTCACAGCACCCAGCACCTCCCACCTCCCACCCTTGAACTTTGAATCATTAACCAGATTTTTTTTATATATTATTTGCACAACACCCTTTAACATTGCACATGTACAGTTATACACTCCAGTTACCCATCTGGACCATATTCAACTATATTGTATATAGTGTATATATTTTATATATTCTAGATTTCTACTATATTTGTTTTTGTATTTATATTATATTTTATTTTATTATACTTGTTGTTTGTACTACATTCCCCTTTGATGCTGTGCCTAATGTGAATTTCCCTTTCGGTGGATCAATAAAGGAACATCTTATCTTATCTTAAATTATTGCTTATGGTTACCAAACAATAAGCAATTCCTGATTCTTGATGTGATGAAAAAACATTATTTCCTGTAACAAATGAACAACTAAGAAAATAAATCATACTGATTACATGAAGTTATCATGTAATTTCTGTTGTATTCTGACTGGATCATCACAATGTCATGCTCAGACAACTAGAATGAGGTCAAAGGACAAGGTCTTCTTGTTCTCTGCTGCTATTTTCCCCTTTTATGGTATCACAGTGCTTTCAGTGCAAATGTTGCCATCCTGAGGATGAGGCAGGCTTTAACAACCACGGGACACATTTTCTCCCAGGATAGCACAAGCACCCTATGCTACATTATTCTCTCTTATCTGAGAAAGACACTGTAGACTTTCAATCTTTTCTGCTCAGTCAGGTAGTTCTGGTGATATGTTTTATGAAATATGATGTTTTTACTGCCATGTTTTTATACTGTTTAAATAAATAGGCTACATGTAGACTTTTACTTGGTCCTTCCTCACCTTAATAATGATACAAAAAACAAGAACACTAATGCAGTGGTACTGCCTTTACCCTTCCACACCAACTGATCCTTAACTGGGTCTCTATTCTTGAACAAGGTTTTAGTTTTTCATATAATTAATGTGAGCGAATTATTATAATACATTATATAGATACATACTATAATGATGGTTATGTCTCAATTGGTAACTTTTTATTATAAATCACAGCATATTCAACAGTTGTGTCCTTAAATTACACTAGTTCCTATTTTGCTTTCATATGAAAGCAGATTGGTAAATGGTTAGTAAGTTATATTGAATGAACACATGAATTGGTATACATTGCACATACCCTGTGTGTGCCAAGTATAATTACTCATTATTCAGCATGAAATGAAATGCATTTATTCTAATATTTAGCCCTAAAATGTAAATAAAAGAACAAAAAATAGGTTTTGTTAGCATTTTGTTCATTATTTATCAAAATGTCTTCAATACAGTTTGA